ACCTGTCGCTAATGTCTGCATGCTATGTTTTCCTGTCTCATACAGCGCGATCGAGCGCCGAACGTGATCAAAATAAGCAGAAAAAAAGTATCGCGGACATAATTTATCATAACTCTGGTTTTATTTGGCCTATCAACACAATTTAAAAACTGGTATATAGGTTGAGGTCCTCACTTTTGAGATAAGTTGAAACGGAGAGTCAACGAGGCTCCGTCTTGCAGCTACATCCGGTTAAATATGTCATGTGACTTGAACGCACACACAGACACACACACACGCACACACACACACACACACACACACTCAGAGTCTGGTTTTTAGCACCTGCAAAAACATGCTATTTACATATTTGACAAGAATGCAGAGGCTCCTTTTGCCCCTGAAAAAAATCAAATTTCAAACACAACTTGACTGCTCATTTCTCCAAAAGACAACCATGAAGCTCCATCCAAACCTGAAGCAGGCAGTTGGTGCATGTGTACAGTAACCTGAGGGGAGTGAGGTGAGTGCTTCTGAGGAGAACATGAGCAGTGAAGATTCACCTTGGAGCTAGAACAGAGACATGCACATGATTATACAGGGGCAGGGGCTCAAGTTTTTTCCAGTCGTTTATACAATATGGAAATTAATGTGAAATTAAAACACAAAGTATTAATAGAAAGGTAATGACTGTCCTGTGTAGGTGACAGTGATATCCAATAGGCTAGGCACTCACGAGGCTGGCTGTGGCAAGTGTAAGTGAAAGCAACACGCACTGGCAAGAAGAACAGCAAACGCCGATGAAGGAAAAGGGTCTTTGCAGTGATGGGCGTTACCAGAGAGGGCGATGGCCAGAGGACACAAATGGGACGGGGAGGCAGCACGTTGGGGGGGGACGCGACACGGCTCGGGCCCGCCAGTGCCCCAACGGGGTCCTAGTTCTTCTTTTTCCTCCCCTTTGAACTGGAAAATGGCCCACTTCCCACTGGCGAAAACTCATGAAATTTGGCAGGACGACCGGGCCTGGTGAAAAATTCGATATTCTGAAGTCGCCCAAACAATAAAATGCAAAATGGCTCCATAGCGCCCCCTAAGGTGGAAATTCACACTATTGACTGTCACGCCTGTACGCTTTGTCATATTGACACAAAAATTGACACACATATGTATCTCAATAAGATCTACAAAAAAGTCAGTGCGGCCGTATCTGTCAAATGTACGGTTAAAGGGTTATTTCGCATTTTTTTCCGATCCGCACACATTGGAATTTCGCTAACTCCTCCGAAGGCTTTAGTTCCACCGGCACCACATTTGCTCAGGCCAATCTACACCCCGTGGCCATTAAAAGTTATCAAAATCATGACGCTGCACCCCAAGGTTTAGGTTCTAGGGGGCGCCAAAGATAACACTAAAATCCACATATTTAAAAGTCTTATAACTTTTTATTTTTGTCCTCACTGGCCTCCAAGTTTTCTAGGATGATGCAATGTCCAGCCATCAACACATTTGTGAAGGAATTTTTACTCCCCAAAAGAGCGCCCCCCCATGGCAGGAGAAAAAAGTCAATTTTTTCTTGTCCCCTAAGGTGAAAATACACATTGTAGAGTGTCACGCCTATACGCTTTGTCAAAATGACACAAAATTTGACACACACATGTAACTCAATAAGATCTACGAAAAAGTCAATGGCCACGTATATGTAAAATGTACAGTTAAAGGGTTATTTCACATTTTTTGCAGATCCACACACATTGGAATTTGGCTAACTCCTCCTAAGGCTTTCGTCCCACTGACACCAAATTTGCTCAGGCCAATCTACACCCCATGGCCATTCAAAGTTGTAAAAATCATGATGCTGCACCCCACGGTTTATGTTCTAGGGGGCGCCAAAGATGACCCAAATATCCACATTCTTAAAAGAATCCACATCCCCCCCCCCATCCCCCATCCCCCATGGCAGGAGAAACAGTCAAGTTTTTCCTTCCCATCACTCAATGGCTCAATCGCATCACTCTCCCGGCAACACCGTAACGAGGAGCAACTTGCCATTTGGATATATCCTAGCTGTGTTTGTGCCCTCACTCATGGTCCAGACTTTTTTCAAATAGGACATGTAGTTTGTCTGCAGCGACCGTTTTGGTAGAAACTGCGCCTCCCATTCATTATAATGGGAAATGACCACAGACAAGTGCGGACACCATCTTTGGACCTTGAGTGTGATGCGATCGGGAGGGGGAGGCGGTCGCGCTGGGGGCGGCGCGACGCGGCTCGGGCCCGACAGTGCCCCACCGGGGCCCTAGTTAGGGCCCGAGCGTAGCTGCTAAGCAGCTGCGAGAGCCCTCTTGTTCCTGATGGATTCTTCTTTCGTTATTTTTCCTCCGCTTTAAACTGGAAAATGGCCCACTTCCCACTGGCGAAAACTCAGGAAATTTGGCAGGACGACCGGGCCTGGTGAAAAATTTGATATTCTGAAGTCGTCCAAACAAAAAAATGAAAAATGGCTCCATAGCGCCCCCTATGGTGAAAACTCACCTGATGCCTGTACGCTTTGTCAAAATGACACAAAATTTGACACACATGTGTATCTCAATAAGATCTACGAAAAAGTCAGTGCGGGCGTATCTGTCAAATGTACGGTTAAAGGGCTATTTCGCTTTTTTTGCCGATCCGCACACATTGGAATTTCGCTAACTCCTCCGAAGGCTTTCGTTCCACCGGCACCAAATTTGCTCAGGGCAATCTACACCCCATGGCCATTAAAAGTTGTACAAATCATGACGCTGCACCCCACGGTTTAGGTTCTAGGCGGCGCCAAAGATAACCCAAAAATCCACATTCTTAAAAGTCTTATAACTTTTTATTTTTGTCCTCACTGGCCTCCAAGGTTTCTAGGATGATGCAATGTCCAGCCATCAACACATTTGTGAAGGAATTTTTACTCCCCAAAAGAGCGCCCCCCCATGGCAGGAGAAAAAAGTCCATTTTTTCTTGTCTCCTAAGGTAAAAATACACATTGTTGAGTGTCACGCCTATACACTTTGTCATATTGACACACAATTTGACAATCACGTGTATCTCAATAAGATCTACAAAAAAGTCAATAGGCACGTATCTGTCAAATGTACGGTTAAAGGGCTATTTTGCATTTTTTGCCGATTCGCACACATTGGAATGTGGCTATCTCCTCCTAAGGCTTTCGTCCCACCGATACCAAATTTGCTCAGGGCAATCTACACCCCATGCCCATTCAAAGTTGTAAAAATCATGCCGCTGCACCCCACGGTTTACGTTCTAGGGGGCGCCAAAGATGACCCAAATATCCATATTCTTAAAAGTGTTATAACTTTTTATTTTTGTCCTCACTGGCCTCCAAGTTTTCTAGGATGATGCAATGTCCAGCCATCAACACATTTGTAAAGGAATTTTTACTCCCAAAAAAGAGCGCCCCCCCATGGCAGGAGAAAAGAGTCCATTTTTTCTTGTCCCCTAAGGTGAAAAAACACATTGTTGACTGTCACGCCTATACGCTTTGTCAAAATGACACAAAATTTGACACACACGTGTATCTCAATAAGATCTACGAAAAAGTCAATGGGCACGTATCTGTAAAATGTACGGTTAAAGGGCTATTTCGCATTTTTTGCCGATTCGCACACATTGGAATGTGGCTAACTCCTCCTAAGGCTTTCGTCCCACCAACACCAAATTTGCTCAAGCCGATCTACACCCCATGGCCATTCAAAGTTGTAAAAATCATGCCGCTGCACCCCATGGTTTACGTTCTAGGGGGCGCCAAAGATGACCCAAATATCCACATTCTTAAAAGTCGTTTTGGCCACTGCAGGAGTACAGAGTACTGCAGGATACACACACACAGACACACACACACACAGACACACACACACACGCACACACACACACACACACACACACACACACACACACACACACACACACATACACACTCAGAGTCTGTTTTTCAGCACCTGCAAAAACATGCTATTTACATATTTGACAACAATGCAGAGACTTCCTTTTGCCCCTGAAAAAAATGAAATTTCAAACACAACTTGACTGCTCATTTCTCCAAAAGACAACCATGAAGCTCCATCCAAACCTGAAGCAGGCAGTTGGTGCATGTGTACAGTAACCTGAGGGGAGTGAGGTGACTGCTTCTGAGGAGAACATGAGCAGTGAAGATTCACCTTGGAGCTAGAACAGGGACGTGCACATGATTATACAGGGGCAGGGGCTCAAGTTTTTTCCAGTCGTTTAGACAATATGGAAATTAATGTGAAATTAAAAAACAAAGTATTATTAGAAAGGTAATGACTGTCCTGTGTAGGTGACAGTGATATCCAATAGGCTAGGCACTCACGAGGCTGGCTGTGGCAAGTGCAAGTGAAAGCCACACGCACTGGCAGGAAGAACAGCAAACGCCGATGAAGGAAAAGGGTCTTTGCAGTGATGGGCGTTACCAGAGAGGACGATGGCCAGAGGACGCGAATGGGACGGGGAGGCAGCGCGTTGGGGGGGGGGGGGGGGGCGACACAGCTCGGGCCCGCCAGTGCCCCAACGGGGCCCTAGTATTTAATAATTCTTAATTTCATTTTATGTTGCTTTGTTTTTAGATTTTAAACCTCCAGTGTTTCTTTACCTTGAATTTTAAAACGGTGTTTCCTCAGTGCGCACATTCCTGTTTATATGAATCGAACCCTTTTTAAGTTCATGCATTTTTATACATGTTTCTATTGAGCTGAGATTGCGGGGTGGGAATGAGGGGTTGGGTTGGGGTAGATTCAGGTTTTCTTTGTTTCTTTTATTTCTCTACTATGTAAAACACTTTGTGCTTCATCTTTTTGAATGAAAAGTGCGATACAAATAAAGACTGATTGATTTTGACTTGAATCTGTCTGCCAATCGAATGCTCAGTCACACTCCAGCCCAGTAGATGGCGGTAATGCACCTCCGAGCTGGTTGCCAACCGCCCTCACGAGCAAAAGAAAGCGAAGAAGAACCACGAGGGAAGTTTCCTGAAGACCCCGGATCAGAATAACCCGAGTTAAGGCGTCCATCTGCAGTTGTCTTGTCTCTGTTTGACTCTTGGGTCGGTAGAAAATGTCCAGGTTTCAGGATCTTGAAGATTTCTTCAGCCGGCGGCTGCTCGCTGCTGTTAACGGAGACCTCTCAGGACGATCAGCAACATCTGTGTATGAAGAGGAGCTCCAACGGCAAAGAAAACTGCTGAGTGTGATTTTAATGCCTGAAATCAAACTGAAGAGAGCAGGTTAGTTCACCTTCTTCTTCCGGATTGAAACTCTGGATTGGATGTTGTGATCGTTGTTCTGTGTTTGGTGGAGCTTCATCTGATCAGTTTTAATGTCTATTTTTAGCTCATTACAGTGACTTAAAACTCAGACTTTAAAGCTCAACAGATGAAACTCAAACACGATTTTAAAAAAGGCGCGAATTCAACCCACGTATCATTCGTTCACCGGTTTTTCAAAATAAAACCAAACGTTAAAAACAAGAAACGACGCTTATCTATTTCCTAAACATGGTTAAGAAAAAAGGATACCGACTCGTTTTCCCAATATGTTGTGTTCAAATACAAAATGGAAAAATCGGATAACGACAAAGTTTATTAAATTGTTCCACATCCGACTAGAACAAGCTGCGTGACCCGGAAGTGATGCTCCGTGTCTTTTTTGTTGATTGAATATCACGGTTGGAAATAGATATCAAACATAGAAGAAGGACTGTTTTATTTTTGTTTTAAAATAGAAACACCAAAATAATGAAATAAAGCTTGATTTTCTTTTCTGCTGTCTGGAACGAGTAAGGAAAAGTCAAAGAACAGTTCAGTGTTTCTAAACAAGCGGTCCCAGAAGAAATGTGAAATGAAAAATGGAAGGGTAAAACAAACCTTCAAAGTATGGACGACAGTCCAAAAGAGAATTAGAGGGACAGCTGCCCTCTCAACAGCTATGCAGATTACTGGAAATCTGGATTTCCTCCCTCAACAACAGACACCTTTTTTAAGAGGCGGGCAGGCAGAAATCTGAAGGTTATTGACCAGTTGTTCTGCGACACCGGTGTACAGCCATTCTCATATCTCCAAGACAAATTCTGTCGACCCCAAAATGACATGATGTTCTGGTATTCTCAGATTAGGAATTACATTACAAACCATAAGGACTGGAATATTAGTAAAACAGAAACTTACTTTATTAATATAATGAAACATCAATTACCCAATAAAAAGCATGCGTCCCATATATACAGAAATCTGTTACTAGATACTCCAGACAATACTTTTTATATTAAAAACAAATGAGAGCTTGAGTTAAATATTATAACTGAGGATGGGAAAGAACCTTCACTGGATGTCATAAAGGTGTCAATAGTATCACGTGAAGGAGTTTGATTGGAAGGTGAAGACAAGGTTCTTTAAGACGCCCTCCATTGTCTCTAAACTTGTCGATAACTCAGCTGCAGTTTACTGTTGGAGAGGATGTGGAGCGGTTGGCGACCACTCACACAAATTTTGGGATTGGCCAATGATGCTTCCTTTTTGGAAAGGGGTAAAGAGTGAGATAGATGAAGTTCTGGGAATTAATATATTATCCACCCCAAGTCAGTTTCTCTCCGATCGAACTCCTGAAGACGTGAACACTAGAGACCAAAAGCACTTGTTACATTTACTCATGATGACTGCGAGGAAGATGGTGACAATAAAATGGTTGAATCCACAGCCACCTACCGTGAAAACAGAAACTGAGGGGGGTGTATGGAATGGAGGCTTGACCTGCTAAATTACAGTTAAGGTCTGATGTTTTTGTGAGGAGGTGATATCTCTCTAACTGAGGGGGACCCCACAATACGCTGGAATGTCATAACTGTCCACTTCTTTATTCATCTATTATTTTTCACTCATTTGTATGACTCGGTTTTCCGTGCGCTATAGGTTTTCTTTTTTCATGTCCTCAGCACTGACAAACATAACCTGTGATGTTGTCAAGGATTGTTTGTGTTTCTCTTTAATGAAAAAAATTAATGAAGTTAAAAAAAAAAGAAAATCAAACCATTATTTGACTTTTCCTAACTCCTATCAGATGGCAGGAGAGAATATCAATCTGTCTTTAAATTTTGTTGTTTCTAGTTTAATAACCAGCTGTTTTTTCAGTTTTTTAGTATCTGTCTCCAAATCCTGTATCTAGGCCAGGAACAATGACAAATTTTGTGGGATGATAAGAGAAAGAATCTCTATCCAAAGTTTGTCTCCAACATAGATGCCAAGCTTATCTTGATGTGTCTTTCTGTACTTTGGTGTTTCCTGCAGATGTCCAGCAGCTGTCAGTGATTAAAGAGGAACCTCCTGAGCTCCAGGAGTGGAGCCCTGATCTAAACCAAAAGGACACCAAGCACATGCACATTAAGGAGGAGGAACTCTGGAGCAGTCAGGAGTCAGACACCAGTTAAGGCGTCCATCTGCAGTTGTCTTGTCTCTGTTTGACTCTTGGGTCGGTAGAAAATGTCCAGGTTTCAGGATCTTGAAGATTTCTTCAGCCGGCGGCTGCTCGCTGCTGTTAACGGAGACCTCTCAGGACGATCAGCAACATCTGTGTATGAAGAGGAGCTCCAACGGCAAAGAAAACTGCTGAGTGTGATTTTAATGCCTGAAATCAAACTGAAGAGAGCAGGTTAGTTCACCTTCTTCTTCTTCTTCTTCTTCTTCTTCCGGATTGAAACTCTGGATTGGATGTTGTGATCGTTGTTCTGTGTTTGGTGGAGCTTCATCTTATCAGTTTTAGTGTCTGTTTTTAGCTCATTACAGTGACTTAAAACTCAAACTTTAAAGCTCAACAGATGAAACTCAAACACGACTTAAAAAAGGCGCGAATTCAACCCATGTATCATTCGTTCACTTGTTTTTCAAAATAAAACCAAACGTTAAAAACAAGAAACGACGCTCATCTATTTCCTAAACATGGTTAAGAAAAAAAGGATACCGACTCGTTTTCCCAATATGTTGTGTTCAAATACAAAATGGAAAAATCGGATAACGACAAAGTTTATTCAATTGTTCCACATCCGACTAGAACAAGCTGCGTGACCCGGAAGTGATGCTCTGTGTCTTTTTTGTTGATTGAATATCACGGTTGGAAATAGATATCAAACATAGAAAAAGGACTGTTTTATTTTTGTTTTAAAATAGAAACACCAAAATAATGAACTAAAGCTTGATTTTCTTTTCTGCTGTCTGGAACGAGTAAGGAAAAGTCAAAGAACAGTTCAGTTTCAATCTTTTACAGATAAATAGACACAAATCGAAAAAGTGCCCTTATATTTGTTTGCTACTGGTGGAGGAGAAATCCAGGTGGTGGCATGTAGTAAGCATTTTTAGTATTGGGGCCACAGTGAGAAAATAATATTTTCATACAAAGTCATAAAATTACAACAATAAAGTCATAAATTGACAGGATAGAGTCGTAAATAAACAAGAATAAAATCATACATTTACAGGAATAAAGTCATTTTATCACAAGAATAATGTCATAAATCTACAAACAAATATAAGGGTAATTTTTTGATTTGTGTCTTCTGCTTTATTCCTTTGTAATGTTAGAAGTTATTATTAAAAATCAAACCATTATTTGACGTTTATTTACTCCTTCCAGACAGCAGGAAAGAAAATCAAGCTGTATTTCAATTTTGGTGTTTCTATTTTAAAACCAAAATCAATAACCAGTTGTTTTTTCTATTTTTGATATCTGTTTCCAAACCTTAGATCTAGGCCAGGAACAATGACAAATTTTGTGGGATGATAAAAGCAAGAATCTCTATCCAAAGTTTGTCTCCAACATAGATGCCAAGCTTATTTTGATGTGTCTTTCTGTACTTTGGTGTTTCCTGCAGATGTCCAGCAGCTGTCAGTGATTAAAGAGGAACCTCTTGAGCTCCAGGAGTGGAGCCCTGATCTAAACCAAAAGGACACCAAGCACATGCACATTAAGGAGGAGGAACTCTGGAGCAGTCAGGAGGGAGAGCAGCTTCAAGGGTTTGAGGAGGCTGAGGCCACCATGTTCCCATTCACTGTTGTCATTGTGAAGAGTGAAGAGGATGAAGAAAAACCTCAGCCTCCACAGCTTCACCCAAAACCAATTCAAAAGATGGAAACAGGAGATGATGGAGAAATCTGTGGAGTTTCAGAACCAGCTGGAAACTCAAATCCTGTGAGTGATAACAGGTCAGAAGACTCCTCTGAGACTGAGGATGATGATGATTGGAAGGAGACCAGAGAGGATCAGTCAGGATTAAACTCTGGGAAATTAATGAAAAGAAGAGGACAGAAAACTGTCAAGAAATCTCACAGCTGCTCGGAGTGCGGTAAAAGATTTAAATCTCAAGAGGCTGTGAAAACACACATGGTAGTTCACACAGGAGAGAAACCTTTCAGTTGTTCTGAATGTGGTAAAAGATATTCACTAAAACAGAGTATGATCAGACACAAAGTAAAGCATTCAGGAGAGAAACCTTTCAGCTGCTCTGAGTGTGATAAAAGATTTTTCCAAAAAAACCAAGTGACTAAACACATGTTACATCACAGGAAAGAGAAACCATTCAGCTGCTCTGAGTGCGATAAAAGATTCAAATTTAAAGAGGTTCTTAAACGACACATGTTTTTTCACACAGGAGAGAAACCCTTCAGTTGTTCTGATTGTGGCAAAAGATTTACACAAAAAAGTGATCTAGCCAGACACATGTTAGTTCACACAGGAGAGAAACCCTTGGGTTGTTCTGATTGTGGTAAAAGATTTACACAAAAACAAGATCTGGCCAGACACATCTTAGTTCACACAGGGGAGAAACCTTTTAGCTGCTCTGAGTGTGATAAAAAATATCGTGATAAAAGGTCTCTGGCCAAACACATGTTTGTTCACACAGGAGAGAAACCTTTCAGCTGCTCTGAGTGTGGTAAAACATATTGTGAGAAAAGGGATCTGATCTTACACATGTTACGTCATACAGGAGAGAAAACTTTCAGCTGCTCTTAGTGTGGTAACAAATATTGTGATAAAAGATATCTGACCTCACACATGTTAGTTCACACTGGGAGGATAGAAAGAAAACTGTTTAGCTGCAGCGTCTGAGAACAAAAATTCTCTCAGTCTCAGGATTATTCAAAGACTTCAGCGCTTCATCAAAACTAATCAGGGGAGAAGGAGGATGAAGAAACAGGAGCTGATGGAAGGATGGAGAACCTGAACAAGTCAGAAAATGAGGATTACAACAACAGACTGTGGAGGAGACTCTTCCAACCCTGAGTCTGAGGACCGGGTTGATTGGACCTGGACCAGAGACCACAAACAAATTCACAAAGAATGGACTGGGGCTGAGAATGGCATCAAGAATTATTCATCATTTCTGACCGTCCAGAACTGCTGAGAGTAACATCAGTGGTTGTGCCAGGCTCATTGTAAGAGACTTCATGTAAAGATGCATCATTTCCATGTCTTTTCAGAGGTGGTCTTGTCGGTATGATCATTGAACAGTTGGACCACATATATGTAAAGTTACACTTGAAGGGTTTTTATCTGGATTGGAGGTTTGATGTTGTTTAGGTACCTGATTAAAGCATCACTTTATCCAATCCTCATGCTGTTCAGTTCCACTTTCTTCTTCTCTGACAACAACACAGTTCTATCATCGCCTCTTTGACACCATCAACATGACATGAATCCAACATGTCATGGTTAGTTTACCACCACACCCAGATTATAATCCAACTTCCTCAAATATCCTTTGTACTCTGTTTTATGTCTTTATAAGATTTTTATTCCACCCACAATTTTAATATTAAATCATTTCCAGTTTTCAAAGTGTACCAGCAACAGAAATGACTTATTTCAGTCTTTGACAAGGTCAAAGCATAAAAACGTTTTAATTTAAGGTCTATCAGGAAAGACAGCTGGCAAATTAATACGACTAAAATATAATTTTTGATCGACACTGAATTAGTTTCAAAAATGATCTTTTATTAAAACTACTCTTTTTATTTTCTGCCCTAAACTCCTGTTCCAAATCCCAGTCCAGTAGGTGGCGGTAATGGAACTCCATGGACGCTGGCTGCCGTAAAACACCAAAAAAGAAGCGGAAGAAGGGTCCGGAGCACAGAGGGACTCTCCCGAGGAGTCATCAGCAGGATAACCCGAGTTAAGGCGTCCATCTGCAGTTGTCTTGTCTCTGTTTGACGCTTGGGTCGGTAGAAAATGTCCAGGTTTCAGGATCTCGAAGATTTCTTCAGCCGGCGGCTGCTCGCTGCTGTTAACGGAGACCTCTCAGGACGATCAGCAACATCTGTGTATGAAGAGGAGCTCCAACGGCAAAGAAAACTGCTGAGTGTGATTTTAATGCCTGAAATCAAACTGAAGAGAGCAGGTTAGTTCACCTTCTTCTTCTTCTTCAACATGAGAAACGAACAAGAGAAAACCACCGAAGATCAAAACCTGTTGACAAACAGAACACCAACGTCACTGACCTTTGAAGATCAATACTTGTTGACAAACAGAACAGCAACGTCACTTATCTGTAATTATTTCGGTTACAGAAAGGATGACGTCACCAAACACCTGTTCTGTGTCGGCAGTACCTTTCATCTGTTGCCACAGTAACGTCCCAGCACAATAAAAGCTAAAAAGATCTCTGAGACAGACAGAAGCCATTCTACTTATATTTACAAAAACAGGAAGCACAGTCCCCTTTCAAAATAAGTCTCCCAATAACTGCACAGCTTACCAGTAGGACACAGAGCTTCCCTTAGGTTATGCCGCCTTGCATCAAAAAAGCTTACACCACTTTAGCAAACTTAACTCATGAATTCCTTCAATGTCAACAATCTTTCAGAAATCACACAGTCCCACAAATCCTTCAGTCCCGGACCGGACCATGTTTCCGACCGCTTGCTTCTCTAGTTATACCAACTTTAGTAACGACCGCAGCATAGTAATACACAGCAGTCTGAGGAGCAACAGATGAAACTCAAACACGACTTAAAAAAGGCGCGAATTCAACCCACGTATCATTCGTTCACTGGTTTTTCAAAATAAAACCAAACGTTAAAAACAAGAAATGACGCTCATCTATTTCCTAAACATGGTTAAGAAAAAAAAGGATACCGACTCGTTTTCCCAATATGTTGTGTTCAAATACAAAATGGAAAAATCGGATAACGACAAAGTTTATTCAATTGTTCCACATCCGACTAGAACAAGCTGCGTGACCCGGAAGTGATGCTCTGTGTCTTTTTTGTTGATTGAATATCACGGTTGGAAATAGATATCAAACATAGAAAAAGGACTGTTTTATTTTTGTTTTAAAATAGAAACACCAAAATAATGAACTAAAGCTTGATTTTCTTTTCTGCTGTCTGGAACGAGTAAGGAAAAGTCAAAGAACAGTTCAGTTTCAATCTTTTACAGATAAATAGACACAAATCGAAAAAGTGCCCTTATATTTGTTTGCTACTGGTGGAGGAGAAATCCAGGTGGTGGCACGTAGTAAGCAGTTTTAGTATTGGGGCCACAGTGAGAAAATAATATTTTCATACAAAGTCATAAAATTACAACAATAAAGTCATAAATTGACAGGAATAGAGTCTTAAATAAACAAGAATAAAATCATACATTTACAGGAATAAAGTCATTATATCACAAGAATAATGTAATAAATCCAAAGTTTGGCTCCAACATAGATGCCAAGCTTATCTTGATGTGTCTTTCTGTACTTTGGTGTTTCCTGCAGATGTCCAGCAGCTGTCAGTGATTAAAGAGGAACCTCTTGAGCTCCAGGAGTGGAGCCCTGATCTAAACCAAAAGGACACCAAGCACATGCACATTAAGGAGGAGGAACTCTGGAGCAGTCAGGAGGGAGAGCAGCTTCAAGGGTTTGAGGAGGCTGAGGCCACCATGTTCCCATTCACTGCTGCCATTGTGAAGAGTGAAGAGGATGAAGAAAAACCTCAGCCTCCACAGCTTCACCCAAAACCAATTCAAAAGATGGAAACAGGAGATGATGGAGAAATCTGTGGAGTTTCAGAACCAGCTGGAAACTCAAATCCTGTGAGTGATAACAGGTCAGAAGACTCCTCTGAGACTGAGGATGATGATGATTGGAAGGAGACCAGTGAGGATCAGTCAGGATTAAACTCTGGGAAATTAATGAAAAGAAGAGGACAGAAAACTGTCAAGAAATCTCACAGCTGCTCTGAGTGTGGTAAAAGATTCAACTGTCAACGGGCTCTGAAAATACACATGGTAGTTCACACAGGAGAGAAACCTTTCAGCTGCTCTGATTGTGGTAAAAGCTTCAACTGTCAACGGGCTCTGAAAATACACATGGTAGTTCACACAGGAGAGAAACCTTTCAGCTGCTCTGAGTGTGGTAAAAGATTTTCACAAAAACCACATCTGACCAAACACATGTTATTTCACACAGGACAGAAACCCTTCAGTTGTTCTGATTGTGGTAAAAGATTTACACAAAAACATAATATGGCCAGACACACGTTAGTTCACACAGGGGAAAAACCTTTTAGCTGCTCTGAGTGTGGTAGAAGATTCAACTGTAAAGAGCATCTGAAAAGACACATGTTGATTCACACAGGAGAGAAACCCTTTAGCTGCTCTGAGTGCGGTCAAAGATTCATACAGAGAGTGACTCTGATCAATCACGTGTTAATTCACACAAGAGGGAAACCTTTCAGCTGCTCTGAGTGTGGTAAAAAGTATTTTGATAAAAGGTCTCTGGCCAATCACATGTTAATTCACACAGGAGAGACACCTTTCAGCTGCTCTGAGTGTGATAAAGGATATCTTGATAAAAGGTATCTGGCCAGACACATCTTAGTTCACACAGGAGAGAAACCTTACAGCTGCTCTGAGTGTGATAAAAAATATTTTGATAAAAGGTCTTTGGCCAATCACATGTTAACTCACACAGGAGAGAAACCTTACAGCTGCTCTGAATGTGATAAAAAGTATTTTAATAAAAGGTCTCTGGCCAATCACATGTTAGTTCACACAGGAGAGACACCTTTCAGCTGCTCTGAGTGTGGTAAAAGATTTTCGCAAAAAAAGAATCTGAACAGACACGTTAGTTCACACAGGAGAGAAACCTTTCAGTTGCTCTGAGTGCGGTCAAAGATTCAAATCTCAACAGGCTCTAAAAGGACACATGGTAGTTCACACTGGGGAGAAACCTTTCAGCTGCTCTGATTGTAGTAAAAGATTTTCAGAGAAACGGAATATGACCAGGCACAGAGCAATTCATACAGGAGAGAAACCTTTCATCTGCTCTGAGTGTGGTAAAAAGTTTTCGCAAAAAACACGTGACTAAACACATGTTATCTCACAGGAAGGAAAAAGGAAAAACCCTTCAGTTGGTCTGAGTGTTGAAATAAATTTAGCCATGGTTTACATGGTATGTCACATGGATCAGTCAGGATTAAACTCTGGGAAATTCATGAAAAGAAGAGGACAGAGAACTTTAAAGAAATCTCACAGCTGCTCTGAGTCTGGTAGAAGATTTAATTCTCAAGAGGCTCTAAAAAATACACATGGTAGTTCACACAGGAGAGAAACCTTTCAGTTGTTCTGAATGTGGTAAAAGATATTCACTAAAACAGAGTTTGATCAGACACAAAGTAAATCATTCAGGAGAGAAACCTTTCAGCTGCTCTGAGTGTGATAAAAGATTTTCCCAAAAAAACCAAGTGACTAAACACATGTTACATCACAGGAAAGAGAAACCATTCAGCTGCTCTGAGTGCGATAAAAGATTCAAATTTAAAGAGGTTCTTAAACGACACATGTTTTTTCACACAGGAGAGAAACCCTTTGGTTGTTCTGATTGTGGTAAAAGATTTACACAAAAAAGTGATCTGGCCAGACACATGTTAGTTCACACAGGAGAGAAACCCTTGGGTTGTTCTGATTGTGGTAAAAGATTTACACAAAAACAAGATCTGGCCAGACACATCTTAGTTCACACAGGGGAGAAACCTTTTAGCTGCTCTGAGTGTGATACAAAATATCGTGATAAAAGGTCTCTGGCCAAACACATGTTTGTTCACACGGGGGAGAAACCTTTCAGCTGCTCTGAGTGTGGTAAATCATATTGTGAGAAAAGGGATCTGATCTTACACATGTTACGTCATACAGGAGAGAAAACTTTCAGCTGCTCTTAGTGTGGTAACAAATATTGTGATAAAAGATATCTGACCTCACACATGTTAGTTCACACTGGGAGGATAGAAAGAAAACTGTTTAGCTGCAGCGTCTGAGAACAAAAATTCTCTCAGTCTCAGGATTATTCAAAGACTTCAGCGCTTCATCAAAACTAATCAGGGGAGAAGGAGGATGAAGAAACAGGAGCTGATGGAAGGATGGAGAACCTGAACAAGTCAGAAAATGAGGATTACAACAACAGACTGTGGAGGAGACTCTTCCAACCCTGAGTCTGAGGACCGGGATGATTGGACCTGGACCAGAGACCACAAACAAATTCACAAAGAATGGACTGGGGCTGAGAATGGCATCAAGAATTATTCATCATTTCTGACCGTCCAGAACTGCTGAGAGTAACATCAGTGGTTGTGCCAGGCTCATTGTAAGAGACTTCATGTAAAGATGCATCATTTCCATGTCTTTTCAGAGGTGGTCTTGTCGGTATGATCATTGAACAGTTGGACCACATATATGTAAAGTTACACTTGAAGGGTTTTTATCTGGATTGGATGTTTGATGTTGTTTAGGTACCTGATTAAAGCATCACTTTATCCAATCCTCATGCTGTTCAGTTCCACTTTCTTCTTCTCTGACAACAACACAGTTCTATCATCGCCTCTTTGACACCATCAACATGACATGAATCCAACATGTCATGGTTAGTTTACCACCACACCCAGATTATAATCCAACTTCCTCAAATATCCTTTGTACTCTGTTTTATGTCTTTATAAGATTTTTATTCCACCCACAATTTTAATATTAAATCATTTCCAGTTTTCAAAGTGTACCAGCAACAGAAATGACTTATTTCAGTCTTTGACAAGGTCAAAGCATAAAAACGTTTTAATTTAAGGTCTATCAGGAAAGACAGCTGGCAAATTAATACGACTAAAATATAATTTTTGATCGACACTGAATTAGTTTCAAAAATGATCTTTTATTAAAACTACTCTTTTTATTTTCTGCCCTAAACTCCTGTTCCAAATCCCAGTCCAGTAGGTGGCGGTAATGCAACTCCATGGACGCTGGCTGCCGTAAAACACCAAAGAAGAAGCGGAAGAATCATGTCCGGAGCACGGAGGGACTCTCCCGAGGAGTCATTATCAGAATAACCCGAGTTAATGCGTCCATCTGCAGTTGTCTTGTCTCTGTTTGACTCTTGGGTCGGTAGAAAATGTCCAGGTTTCAGGATCTTGAAGATTTCTTCAGCCGGCGGCTGCTCGCTGCTGTTAACGGAGACCTCTCAGGACGATCAGCAACATCTGTGTATGAAGAGGAGCTCCAACGGCAAAGAAAACTGCTGAGTGTGATTTTAATGCCTGAAATCAAACTGAAGAGAGCAGGTTAGTTCACCTTCTTCTTCTTCTTCCGGATTGAAACTGTGGATTGGATGTTGTGATCGTTGTTCCGTGTTTGGTGGAGCTTCATCTTATCAGTTTTAGTGTCTGTTTTTAGCTCATTACAGTGACTTAAAACTCAAACTTTAAAGCTCAACAGATGAAACTCAAACATGACTTAAAAAAGGCGCGAATTCAACCCATGTATCATTCGTTCACTTGTTTTTCAAAATAAAACCAAACGTTAAAAACAAGAAATGACGCTCATCTATTTCCTAAACATGGTTAAGAAAAAAAGGATACCGACTCGTTTTCCCAATATGTTGCGTTCAAATACAAAATGGAAAAATCGGATAACGACAAAGTTTATTCAATTGTTCCACATCCGACTAGAACAAGCTGCGTGACCCGGAAGTGATGCTCCGTGTCTTTTTTGTTGATTGAATATCACGGTTGGAAATAGATATCAAACATAGAAAAAGGACTGTTTTATTTTTGTTTTAAAATAGAAACACCAAAATAATGAACTAAAGCTTGATTTTCTTTTCTGCTGTCTGGAACGAGTAAGGAAAAGTCAAAGAACAGTTCAGTTTCAATCTTTTACAGATGAATAGACACAAATCGAAAAAGTGCCCTTATATTTGTTTGCTACTGGTGGAGGAGAGATCCAGGTGGTGGCACGTAGTAAGCAGTTTTAGTATTGGGGCCACAGTGAGAAAATAATATTTTCATACAAAGTCATAAAATTACAACAATAAAGTCATAAATTGACAGGAATAGAGTCTTGAATAAACAAGAATAAAATCATACATTTACAGGAATAAAGTCATTATATCACAAGAATAATGTCATAAATCTACAAACAAATATAAGGGTAATTTTTTGATTTGTGTTTTCTGCTTTATTCCTTTGTAATGTTAGAAGTTATTATTAAAAATCAAACCATTATTTGACTTTTCTTTACTCCTTCCAGACAGCATGAAAGAAAATCAAGCTGTATTTCAATTTTGGTGTTTCTATTTTAAAACCAAAATCAATAACCAGTTGTTTTTTCTATTTTTGATATCTGTTTCCAAACCTTAGATCTAGGCCAGGAACAATGACAAATTTTGTGGGATGATAAAAGCAAGAATCTCTATCCAAAGTTTGTCTCCAACATAGATGCCAAGCTTATCTTGATGTGTCTTTCTGTACTTTGGTGTTTCTTGCAGATGTCCAGCAGCTGTCAGTGATTAAAGAGGAACCTCTTGAGCTCCAGGAGTGGAGCCCTGATCAAAACCAAAAGGACACCAAGCACATGCACATTAAGGAGGAGGAACTCTGGAGCAGCCAGGAGGGAGAGCAGCTTCAAGGGTTTGAGGAGGCTGAGGCCACCATGTTCCCATTCACTGCTGCCATTGTGAAGAGTGAAGAGGATGAAGAAAAACCTCAGCCTCCACAGCTTCACCCAAAACCAATTCAAAAGATGGAAACAGGAGATGATGGAGAAATCTGTGGAGTTTCAGAACCAGCTGGAAACTCAAATCCTGTGAGTGATAACAGGTCAGAAGACTCCTCTGAGACTGATGATGATGATGATTGGAAGGAGACCAGAGAGGATCAGTCAGGATTAAACTCTGGGAAATTAATGAAAAGAAGAGGACAGAAAACTGTCATGAAATCTCATCCTTGCTCAGAGTGCGGTAAAAGATTTTCACTAAAACAGCATCTGACCAGACACATGTTAGTTCACACAGGAGAGAAACCTTTCAGCTGCTCTGAGTGTGGTAAAAGATTTAACTGTCAACGGGCTCTGAAAATACACATGGTAGTTCACACAGGAGAGAAACCTTTCAGCTGCTCTGAGTGTGGTAAAAGATTTTCACAAAAACCACATCTGACCAAACACATGTTATTTCACACAGGACAGAAACCCTTCAGTTGTTCTGATTGTGGTAAAAGATTTATACAAAAACATAATATGGCCAGACACACGTTAGTTCACACAGGGGAAAAACCTTTTAGCTGCTCTGAGTGTGGTAGAAGATTCAACTGTAAAGAGCATCTGAAAAGACACATGTTGATTCACACAGGAGAGAAACCCTTTAGCTGCTCTGAGTGTGATAAAAAATATTTTAATAAAAGGTCTCTGGCCAATCACATGTTACTTCACACAGGAAAGAAACTTTTCAGCTGCTCTGAGTGCGGTATAAGATTTTCGCAAAAAAAGAATCTGAACAGACACATGGTAGTTCACACTGAGGAGAAACCTTTCAGCTGCTCTGATTGTAGTAAAAGATTTTCAGAGAAACGGAATATGACCAGGCACAGAGCAATTCATACAGGAGAGAAACCTTTCATCTGCTCTGATTGTGGTAAAAAGTTTTCGCAAAAAACACATGTGACTAAACACATGTTATCTCACAGGAAGGAAAAAGGAAAAACCCTTCAGTTGGTCTGAGTGTTGAAATAAATTTAGCCATGGTTTACATGGTATGTCACATGGATCAGTCAGGATTAAACTCTGGGAAATTCATGAAAAGAAGAGGACAGAGAACTTTAAAGAAATCTCACAGCTGCTCTGAGTCTGGTAGAAGATTTAACTCTCAAGAGGCTGTGAAAATACACATGGTAGTTTTCACAAAGCAGCTTCAGGACCTTTTCGACAAATCTTTATTCACCTGCTCACTCATATGAATGCATGAAAACTGACATTTTAAACCATGATTACAACGACAATAACAACAACAAAACCTTTTTTGTGTTCCAACATAAATCAGGCTGTAACAGATATCTGAGAGATGCAGAAAGCAGGCATGGAACCATAAAGTTAAGACAACCTTCACAGACTTTCTCCTTCCTCTGAGCAGTGCAGTATTAAACCTGATCATTGCCGAGGCTTGTTAATAAACTGACCTTACACAGCACTAGTGTGTGTTGAAGATATACATTCTTACTCCAAAGTGTGAGACGGCCAAATCCTGTTTACAATACTGTCATTCACATCTAAACGGGTCACCAAGGCCAGATATAGAGTTAATTTACATGAGAGATAAATGTGAATCCAAAATACAAACACAAATAATATAAAATGTTTATATAAAACATAAGTAGGAACAAAAACACAACCAAAGACACACTTGTAAAAGACTTTTGAACTTAAATTCAACATTTTCAGGCAGTGAGAAATTACTTTGGCAGAGAAGAAGGAATGAAAACGAACGGTTTTCATTTTGGTCTCTGTATTACTAATTCCACTTGAATCAGAACAACTTTATCGTCTGTTTGTGATGATGAAACTGTCTAAATGATCATGTTTGATCTAAACATGGACCAAAGGGAATTGGTAGTAAAAGTCATTCAAAAACATGTTGTAGTTTACAGCTAAAAGCGTGAATTCTTCTCCTGAATTCACTTCAGAAGAACTGACTGTGGATGAATATTTCTTCTCTGAGGGTTTGGCTCTCCACGTGGTCCGCTGTTGTGATCCATCATGAGCTGTTATTGAGAATACAAGCAGCTCGTTCTACAGAGATTCTTAATAAAACTCCAATGCTCCAATAATGAGGAACGGTACAGTCGTCCACACACTCCTGAGCGCGTTCAAACACACGGTAGATGATTACACCGGGGCTTTTCTCTACAGATAATAATGTTGTTCCTAATATGGTAAAGAGCACCAAATGATGCTATGTAACCATAGTAACTGCCTCGCTCGCACTTAGAAAACCTTTAGAGTTTTCCGAAAACCGTGAACGCACCATGCTTTTAGGCATCCGCGCGTACTTACAGCTGGATCAGATGGGTGCGTTTGTTTTCTTTCACAGCGGAACTTGTGCGGACGGCTTCTTGGAGACAGGACCATGGTTCCCCCATAGGTTGAAATGATTTTCTTCTAGATGAATGTATGCATCGAGTAGCAGTGAATACAGACTGTTTAATACGTATTTTATGTGATTTAGTTATAGTTTAGCTCCAGATGTAAAAGTAACACCATAATCTCAACAAACGAGGTTGGTGTCCTGAAAGGATTTGGCCCAGTAACCCCACTAACTCCCTGTTTTTGTACTGCCCCTGTACTTTCTCGAGTTCCTGCTGGATGAAGCTTTAGTAAATATGGACTCACTGACGCTGCTGACGCATGTGATACAACCACAAATGCCCTTGAAATCGAAGAAACACAAGGATTATTATGTGACAAAAACAAAAGGGCTTAATGAAGCCGGAGAGCAGTCATGACCTTAAACTGGGTTGACTGTGTAACAGTTCACTTCTTTCTTTACATCTAAACATGATCGTAACCATTTCTGAGTTTAAAAAGTCAAAACAGTACGTATTCAGAAATGACAACGAAAGATGTTTATTTTGTTGGTGCCTCGTCTCCTTTAAAGTCAGCTGTTATTAATATTTACATGATCACAATCGGTTCAATCTCCATAAAAAAAATTGTGTCTGCCAAAACAGAAAAAAAAGTAAACTTCCTAGAAAAATAGGACTTACAAAAAATAGGACTGTTGATGCAACAAGATTCGTATTATAACAGAAGAGGGATGCCACAGACATAACTCTCATTTCCCCAACAGGCGCTGAAGATACAGTATGTAGTACAAACACGGCATATAGAGAATTACTCATGGATTCTGTGAGGTATTTCGGTCAGTGTATTTTGGCGTAGTTCGTAAACATGGAAACATGATGAAGTCACGTGTTGACTTAATCTCCTGTCACTCAAAGTCATGATCTCGCCTGTTCATGATGAAGCGCTTACAGGCTCACTGTGTGTGGCTGCTGTCACTCTCATTCACTGCAGGGTCATGAACCACACGCCTCCCTCTCACTGGTTTCGGTGTCCAAACAAGCGAGTACCCAGGTTTCACACGTGGGAGTACCATCTTTAACTTCAGAACCATGTTGGAGCTGTTTTCTGTGTAACAGTCCAGGTTTGGGTCTGGGTTGTTCAAGATCAATTTCTGATACAGTACCTCACAGCGGACTGCTTCCCGTTTCTCGGCGCGGGATCTCCCATCAAAACGAAGCATCATTTTCTCAATGTCTTGCTGTGTCTTGCAGGGTCCTCCGTTACTGGTCACCGTGGCGATGATGTAATCCCTATCCATGTTCACCTCAATCTTCTCTTCCTTTTTTAAACTTTTCTTTCCAGGTTTCCAGTTGGCTTCATCGTCACTGCAGTCGAGGGGGTTAAATTTGTCATAATCTTCCAGAGTGAAACCGGGCGGCAAGTTCTTGAACCGTTGGGTAGGCTTGTCTTTCTTCTGCCTCTTGCACGGGCCTTTCTGGCTGAAGGGATACTCCGCCATCAAGATGGAAAATGTGCAACTCACAAGTTTTGTGGTTAGGTATGTCGGAGGGGTCTGACCAAATGTACCCCCGGGCAGAAAGGCACTCATGTGTTCCTCAGTGACGGCGGCAATCGTCTTCACCAACCTCTTCAAACAAGCTCTGATCATGTCTCGGTTTGTATGCCACTGACCACAGTAGTGAAACACTCCATCGAAGGTCTTCTCCTGCAACGGGAACTGCTGGAAAACATTAGCAGTCTCTTCAGGTTCCAGCAGTGTCGCAGGATTTTTGGACCAGTTGAGGAACTCTTGGTAAAGTCCGAGCAGGTACTGGCCAAAGAGTGCGTACTCCCCTCCGCTTTTCAGAAGCTGCCAGTACGGACCAATGATTTTACAGTGAACAATGGCTAGAGCGCACACGAGACTCTGAATCACAGGGTCGTTAGCATCAGCAGCAACACTCTCCAGGATCACATTGAGACATTTTTCGTCGTCCAGCGACAGCAGGTCAGAGAAGAAGAGCGCGATCTCTTTGTGATGGTGAATCAGACCTGCTGCTGCCTCAAAGTAGTTGATGAAGTGGTTCGAGTGATTTAAAGTAAGTCTGGACGGATTTCTCTTTTCCTCGCAGAAGGCTATCCAGTGCTTTCTGTAGTTTTGCGTATCAGGGGAGCGAGGGCTCAAGATGTCGCAAGCCATGTGAATGTAACGGGAAGTGGCACTTTCTGACATGTTTACAAAGTTCCTGAAGTGTGGAAGCTTATCCCGGCCGAGTTTATCCCCCGTGGATAGAATTATCTCTTTTTCAAAGTTTACGATCTGCTGCTCAACTTTATCGTACAAATCAACAAGGAAATGGGCATTACAGTTTAAAAACACCACCGGAGGAGCAAATCTAAACCGATCACTAGCAGAGGCGAGTGCTTTATCAAACTCTTCCACGGCTGGTTGATCCTTGTATGCCAGGGTGTACAGACTTTTCAGGAGATCTAAAGTCACGTTCTTGCATGTTGGGGTTTTCCCTTTGTGCGCATCGGACAGCTTTTTGACAGTCATCATTGTGACGTCAAGCATGCTCAGTGTCTCTTCTTTATCTGATGCTTCCTCTTCACTCTCTGCTGTGCCTGAGTCTTCATCACTTTCACCGCTTTCAGAGAGATGTTCCTCCAGCTCTAGTTTTGGTACAACTCTCCTGTTGTCTGCAGACCCGTCGTCTTGCATGTCTTCATAGCTCTCATTTTCCTCTTTAATGATCACTTTTTCAGTGCTCAGGTCTCTTCTCATGCGCTTCTTTACGATCAGTTTTGGTGTTTTCTTTGGCACAAGCTCGAATGGACTTTGAAGGAAGTTTTCAATCGCAGCACTCCTCCTGTGACTTCTTGTTTCATAATTGCGGCTGTGGTATTTTAACTTTTTGATTCTTTTTTTAAGAAGCGAATATGCTCCTTGGACATTCCCTCTCTTGCAGAAGCCAGGTTCAAAGTTTTTTAGCCAAGAAACTATCATGATTGGAGCGATTTTCTCTCTGGCTGCAAAGTTGCTCAATTCGAGAATCAATCCGTTTGTAACTTCAATTAACTGCGCTCGCTCTGAGAAATCCCTAATTTCCAGAAGATGTTCCCGTTCCACTCCGATGCTGTCACATATTGGGCCAACAAAGTTAAAGTTCACGTTTGATTCCAGGAAGGTGAACCTTGCATCGATTCCCAGACTCAATGTAGTTGCAATGCCTCTCTCAATCAAGCGGCGAAAGTCAGCTGACTGATGGCGAGGGAAGGTTTTCTTCAGCCAGTCTATGATGGCAACCCACGGAAAGTTATGGTCCTCTCTTAACAGACCCACTTGAATCAAGACCCTGTTCTTGCATGGTGCTGTTTCAAGCTCTAATCCTTCTCCTGATTGAGCTCCGATGAAGTCAGCAACAAGCTTCCAGTAGTACTCATCTCCTGAAAAAAGTGATACAATGAGCAGAAAGATTATGTCTGACAGAATATTAAGATGCAAACTGTTACTTGAACATAGTAAAAATATAGAAAAGAAGGAGAACTTTATTGATCCCCTACAGAAAACTCAGTGAGTGTTGGATTGGATGTCTTTGTGGCCATGCTACATGCATTTATTGGAAGACAAAGAAGACGTAGAGAAAAGCTGTTGTTCTGTGCAAAAAACTTATTATAGAAATTTTTGTTGTTGTTTATTTGCATCATAGGAGCATCTTACTTTCAAAGGTCATCGTGCTAGAGGGTGAGCAAAGGGGCTCTAAAATGTAAAATCTAGATATCACCTCTTGTACACACTGTACCTTTAACTACAGCTTTAATACGTCAGGGTTTTACTCACTTAGATTAGCCTCAGTTACGGCTGCTTTGCCAGAAAAGGAATAATCTTCATGCTCCTCCATTGTGGCCTGTTTTTGGAAAGAGATGAACAGTTATGATGCTCTAGGAACAGTCACAGTTACATTAGAGAAGGTGAGGATACAAAAAAAAAACAGCTCAAGTTTGAGAGGAAAATGAAAGTGAAACACAAAATTTCAGAGGGGATTAGTCAATTTTAGAATGGACAGTCACTTTTAAAACTAAGACTGATTTCCTCGCCAACTAGCTGGAGAGCAACTTTCACGTCCATGTGTTTGGCATCAATGTGAGTCAATAGTTATTCAGTCCAACAAAACTAAAGAAATCAACCCTGGGGAATAATTCTCAAGTTCTCAAATTCACAAGTTTAAAAAGATAAAAGCGCTGTCATGTAAATTGTCATTTTCAGAAAGAAATGAAATAAACAAGGACAAAAAAAAAGAGAAAAATCCATACCCCGAGGGATGCAGCTCCACAGGTAAATGACTTCCCTGTGCCGAGACCAAACAGAAAAGAAACTCATCAGAAAAAGAGGAAGAAATCAGACTCATCACAAGAAATACTGTTAATTCCTGTTGGTAGGGTGGGAGTAATTCGGTCATTGCAGGAGCTTTTGGACTGAATATAAATACTGGGGCCTGACCGATTTATCGGCGAGCAGATTAAATCGTCCAATTTTAGCCCGTTTGAGACTAATCGGCCAAACTCGCCGATATTTTCAGAAATAAAACGCGGAAAATAAGATTCAGTTTCACTTTGAAAATTTAGTAGGGGGAAGTTGAAAACGCTTTTCTGGTCCGATTTGGTCCTCCTGTCGGCGTGAAGAGCAGTAACCTACAGTATATAGTGCACTGTAGATATCTACAGTTTATATATATATTTTTTATATCTTAATAAAAATGTTTTTTTTTTTAAATCTGACGATTACTCCCCCCCCCCCCATAATCGGTATCGGCCCAAAAAAATCCATATCGGTCTGGCCCTAATAAATACAAGAATGTATAAATACAAGAATAATTTTAAAATATAAAATATCACAATTTCATACACAGTACAAATTGAATATTCAATATATGAGAGAAAAATATTAATGGCAAAACACAAATAAATGCATCAATGAGGTGTTTATTGGATGTGAATTTAAAATTGCTTCTACATTTAAATGAATACTAACAAGATTAAATTACAAAATTGTCATGAATAGAAATCTAAATGTAAATTGTATTGAAATTAGCACTTTAACTCAGTATTCACTCAGAGTACAAGACTAAATGTCCAGATTATCCGGTTGTAAATTATATTTTCTTTAGCATTTTAGTGCAAATTTAAAAAGCCAATCTAAAAGACTATTTTTAATTTAAGCTTGTGTTAAATTTGCATATTTCTTTCTCTAAAAACAAGAGTGATTTCTCAGAGTAGATGCATTAAAGCTTCACCTGTAAACTGCAGCTCCCTCTGCACAACATTGAATGCTAATGCTAGCCTCGCGTTAGCTTCAACTTTTACTTCACGAAATTCAACATACTGAATTATAACTGCACAAAAGTAGAAGAGAAGCGCATGCTATAGTGCTACCGAAAGATATTAAGCGTAAAAGACGAGCAGCGACGCTTAAAAGCGTTTAATCTTACCCAGAAACTACAAAAACACCACATTCGTTTCTCCTCAGCCTCAACACACACAGACGGGGCACTGTGGACTGGTCCGTGATTGGCCGAGCTTTTACAAAAGGCGGGCTTTTTACTCAGTCTCCGCCAATCACAGAGGGGACGTTGAAATGCATTCTGGGAATGCTAGGCTAAAGGCCAGTAGCCGTTATCAGGAAGAGACGGTGGGTAACGAAACCAAGGTACAATTTACAAAATCTTAACTAAAACGACACTTTTATAGGTAGTTACTACACGTATCGTTTTTATCTACAGTTTAACGAGTTTATTTGAAATGGTCACATCGCTGTTTTGTTTTTATATTATTAAAGCCGGTGTTATTAATTGAACTGATTGTGTTACTATTGTGCTTTTTTTGGTCAGTATTTCTTTTTACTGTCGTATCAATGGAGGCGACTCCCAGCTGTGATATGATTTTACAGCTGAAGCAGTCTGTTTTTAATCATAAGTTTAAAGGTATAACGTGTAGAAATGTGAGTATTTATGATCAGCAGACTGTTGAGTGAAGAGCTCCTCCGTGCGCTACTTCATTGTCTGACTAGAAGGGGTCCTCTCATAGACTCTAGTGTTAGGGGAGAACCCAGCATGTGGATTTTAAAAGTTTTAAATTGACCGCACACAATTTCCTAAAAAAAACAGCGTTAATCTGTCATGAGATTAAAGGGATATTCCGGCGTAAAATTAATTTAGGCTCAAACACATCATAACACTGAGTTTAGACACCCTCTCAAGCAGGAATTTCGGTGGCCCTAAGCAAGATTTTGTTTGGTTCCCCCCTCCAAAAAAAACACTCCCTGTGCATTAGGGACCAACCGATTTATCAGCAAGCCGATTAAATCGGCCAATTTTAGCCTGTTTGAGTCTAATCTGTAATTGGCCAAAACTTGAAGATTCTCGCAGATATTTTTCAGGAATAAAATGCGGAGAATAAGATTCTGTTTCACTTAGAAAATGTTCCGTATTGGAAAAGTTCCCCGACTTATCCTGTAGATGGCGCAGCGACCTCATGCCAATCTTCATCCACTAACGTCGGCGTGAAGAGCAGTAGCCTAAATCGTATAGCATACAGTATGAAGTATTCTGTAGAAATCTACAATATATAAACAGTATTTTTTATAACTTCATAAAAAATCTAAAAAATCATCTGAGTAATCGGATAGCAGTACACAGTGGTCTGAGGAGCCATAAACAAACCTCAACCAAAACGCCACTCTATAGCCACAAATAATGCTCAGAACAGCACCTAACTTCATCAACAGGACATATAGGGTCACAGCCATAGTACTAGACACCAAACATCTTTTTAACTTTGACTCATTTCTTTAGCAAAGAGACTAAACACAACTCACCTACTCTCTTCCAGCAGAGGTTTGTTTGTAGAGAGACCTCAGGCCAGTCCATTACAGACTACAGCGGGGTGCCGCAGCTCAAGGAAGAACATTTATGATCATTTCTTCATGGAAATACAATCAGACCGAGACGCTAAGACAGAAGAACTACTGCATCTGTAAAATGATTAATATGGAGATTATTACTTCAAGGAAACGATAAAGAAATAAATGATAAAGAAAATGTTAAAAAGATGTTTGGTGTCTAGTACTATGTCTGTGACCCTATATGTCCTGTTGATGAAGTTAGGTGCTGTTCTGAGCATTATTTGTGGCTATAGAGTGGCGTTTTGGTTGAGGGCGTGGCTCTCTGTATTTCTATCCTGCGGTCGTTACTAAAGTTGGTATAACTAGAGAAGCAAGCGGTCAACAACATTCATCTCTGGTGGGGGGGTCTAACTCGGTGTTACGGTGTGTTTGACCATAAATTAATATCCCTTTTAGGTGCTACACAACATGTAGGACTTGCTCTGTTGTATTGTAGTTCATAAATACCAGATTGAATCGTGTTGTTTGGTTCAATACTCACCTGAAGTCATTTTTAATCATCTTCTGATTCTTCCTCTTTCAGATGCTGATATGTCACTTCTAAGCCTTTGGGTGGTTTTCATGGAATTGAGTTTATGATAAACTTACGGAGCTGTTCACGATGGACTCCCCGGAACCAGAGCGAAGGACTGAAGACACTGAGCCGAGCACATCAGATACACCAAAGCCAAAGAAAGTGTCTCTGAAGAGGCCCGCCGGTGAGCTTAAAAATGCCAAACCAAAGAAGCGAAAAAAGACCCGCAGCTCCCGGCCGGCCCCGCTCGGCTACAGGGTAGAACAAGGGGAGGATATGCTACTGGTTATATCAAGCACGACCTCTGACTATGAACGCTCTGTGTGGGCTCCCCCAAAGAAGGGACGCAAAAAGAAGAAGCTAAAAGCAAAATTAAAAGCAGGTCAGAGTAAGAAGAAAAAGACAACCCGAACCAAGCCGAAACTTGAAATGTTACCAGTCGTCAAGGAAAAACAGGACACAACTTTCTTTGTCCCACAACACACTGAAGACCACAGATGGGGTCAGAGTGTCCCCGAGGAGGTGCTTATAAACATTTTTCAGATGGTGGTTGTCCAGGATGGTGCTGTACCGTTCCTATGCAGGTAATTAACCAACTCTCAAACACTTGTATTAGTATTTCTGGGTGTCCGCTCTTACTGGAAACATAATCCTCACAATTAAATTGTATTTAAAATGATGTTGTGATGTTTTTCTTTAATCCTTTTTTGGTGATTTTTAATTTAACTCAAGCAAAATAATGGAGACGTGGGCGGACTGAATCGTCTTTACTCCTCTGTGTGTCTCTTGTAGGGTGGGAAGAGTTTGTCGTCTGTGGAACGCTGCTGCCTCGAGTCCAGCCCTGTGGAGAAAGGTAACTATAGGTCACTGCTGGATCGCTCCGGGGTTAAGCCAGCAACCTAAAACCGAGAGGAGGATCAGAGACACTTTTACCTGGCTGTCTCAATACAGGTATATATTCAGAGCTGGATGTAAATAAACATTGTGTTCATTAGGATTTGTATTTTTTTTCACTAGTGCTATCTGAAAAAAGGAAACCATAAACTTTTCTTGTTGTTTTATAGATTCTCCCAGCTGCGAGACTTCTCCCTGTGTCACTGGAAAAATAACGTTAACTTTGCACTAGAGGTCAGTTATCAAAGCTGAATAAACGTCTCAAATTTGAGGACATGATCGATTCTTGTCCTAAATCACAAAATGTGGTAAATTTATTCCTCATATATGTAAAAGCTTGCAGGTAGATTTCTGTACCATCGACATATTTTCACGTTTGATGTGATCCAATTTAGGTTGTGTCGACGCACGCCCCCCACCTTCACGCCCTCACACTGTCCTACTGCTCAGGCCTTACAGGGGTGGGCTTCCACTGCCTCGGTCAGCACAGCCGGTCTCTGCGGAGCATAAATCTCCAGCATTCAGAGGTAAATCTAAACAGCTGGATATTTGTGTCGAATATTCATCCTTCAGTTTACGGTTAAAGACATACAGACATTAAAATCACAAATGTTTTTTTCCCGACTGTAGTTTCATGTTGATGGACTCGTGGATTACCTCGAAAACCATGGGCGCCAGATCAAGCAGATTTTGTTCACTCATGGGCTGAAACATGACAGAATTCTGGCAGCCATCACCGTGAGCGCCCATCTCTTCTTTTTTTCTGATCGGTTTTATTGATACTGTGTACTTTAGTAAATGCAGCAGGTCACAGTTTAACGTGGGGGACATGATGGACTGTGTCTGTGTTTTCAGAGGGGGGTCTGTCCTGATTTGGAGATGTTGGAGGTCAACACACACCTCAACAGCAGGGACGGTGAACTTCCCATCTACACCCGAGCTCTACAGGTGGCATGTCCAAAACTGAAGGTAAAAACATTCACATTGATTCAGTGACTTTTGACCGTGTCACTTCAAGCTTCTTTGCAAACATTAGATGAATATCATTTGATTCTGGTTTATATTTAGAGCATTGCCAAAGAAACTAAGCGGTCATTATAAACTCTTACTCTTGGTTTTGCACTTTCATCTGATCTCAAACACAGAAAAAGAAGTAACAGACGTCCTGAGTAAAATATCACGTTTTAGCCGTGATTATGTCTCCTGGGGGTGATTTTGCATTTATGTATTGTATTGTATGTAAGTAAGTGTATATAAGTGTTTGCCCATCAAATTCAATTCAATCTGTCTTTTTCTACATCTATACTCATCATCAGACCTTCCGGATGCTGAATGTCAGACCTCTGCACAGGCCATCACGTACAGGTGCTGATTCAGAACGGGGCTTTCCATTGTTAGAGGAGCTTTGTATCGCTACCACGTCTTTTTCCTACATGACCGACAAAGATTTGTGGGAGATTCTCTTCAGCTCCACCAGGCTGCGTGTGCTGGACCTGCGAGGATGTACACGAGTAACACCATCAGGTCTGGCAGCACTGCCATGTGCAGGTAGGATGTTTTACAATATACAGTACAGGCCAGAAGTTTGGACACACAAGGACTGGTTCTTGCCATAATGTGAATTTTAACAGTTGTCCAATAGGGCTGTTGGTTGTGTATTAATCTGACCTCTGCACGACACAACTGATGGTCCCAATCTCATTGATAAAGCAAGAAATTCCACTAATTAACCCTGATAAGGCAGACCTGTGAAGTAAAAACCATTTCAGGTGACCACCTCCTGAAGCTCATGGAGAGAGTGTTTAAAGCAGTCATCAGAGCAAAGGGTGAACATTTTAAGAAACTAGAATATGAAACATGTTTTCAGTGATTTCACCTTTTTCTTTGTTAAGTACATAACTCCACATGTGTTCATTCTTAGTTTTGATGCCCTCAGTGAGAATCTACAATGTAAAAGTCATGAAGATAAAGAAAAGGCATTGAATGAGAAGGTGTATCCAAACTTTTGGCCTGTACTGTATGTACTTTATCTTAGTTTACTTTTGTAAAAATAGGGTCATATATTTTTGGACTTATACCTGGATATTTGTTTGCATTTGTAATCAGCCAGGATCTTCTTGGTACTCGACAAAGGGGAAGCACATGTTTTTGTGACATGATTAAACAAAGTTCTCGTCTGTTTTTCAGAGCTTGAGTGTCTGTACTGGGGGCAGTATTTCAACAGCAGTGTTATGTTGTCGTCGACTAAAAAGGGCCTTCACATGCTGACGGAGAAATGGAGTCGAACACTTCAACAGCTTGACATTGCAAATCAGCTCTTCACTGAAGAGGAGTTGGAGATAGCGATGAGCTACCTAGCTCAGGCGACAGATACAGATACGTTGCGCTCACTCAATCTAAGTGGGACCAGAATCACACCACCTGCACTCAGGTACTTAATGCATGAACTTTTTAAATAAATGAGGCATCATGACGTACCTGCTTTTATTTTTTTTTTAACTTAGATTTTATTATTTCTTTCTTTCTTTTTTTTTTTTTACAGTACAAAATATACATTTCAAAACAATTATGTTTCCTTTCCTCTTCCTCAGCTGTAAGTGTATTTTGACAAACATCCATAGGCAATAGGAGGTGGAAATAAAAAACAAAAACAATCGTTATATCAAATAAATAGGTAATGTCCACTCTAGAGTATAGAATCACTGGTACAAATGTCAATCAGAGGCAGGATGACGGCATTTTGATGTACAACAGAAGGGTTTTACATCAGAAATATTGTCATTGCAGCAATAAAGGTAGTACAGGTTCCCATCTTTTAGTGAAGGTGGCTTTCTGGAGCCGTAGGGCATGTGATCTGCTCCATTTGATAAATATCCTGCACGATTTGAATCCATATGTACCTGCTTTTTGAAGCCTGAGTAACATAGGTTTGTCCTTCCGAAGATTACACTCAATAAAACTTGTATTTTCATTTCTCATTTCAGGTCCATTATTGGCCAAATGACTTCTCTTAGCTACCTCAACCTGTCATCCTGCCGATATCTTCCAAGAGGACTGAAGAGAATTTACCGCGGCCAAGAAGACATTCGCCAACTGCTGGACAAACTGGACTAGTTTCATATTTGGTCTCAAAGGGTAGACTGAATGCAAAGTGTTTATAGGATTATATTGTTTAGGTTTTATGTGAGCATGTAACCCTGTTTTTCTTTTTTGTAAAGATTGTTTTGTATGAATACATTCACGAGCTGTCAGAGGAACTCTGTGTTGCAAGAAACCACAGATCTGGAATCCTGAGAGAGAACTTGTTGGTGCTCTGTTTCTATCAGATAGTAACACAATAAACAATACTTTTAGGGAAATTGTGTGTGTTTGTGTGACTGTAATCCCCCCCCCCCCCCCAAAAAAAAAAAAGATCGCCCAAGAAATATTGATTAATTTCTTGGCAATAATGTTGGTCAAATACTTTCTCTACACTAGAGGGCACCACCCTCCTTATTTTGTTGCATCTTAACCTTTACATGTATTTAGAGGACTCTTTTGGAAACCTCGTGTACAACATGTACAACTACTTATCCGGCCTTGTTGTTATTTAAACAGAGATGTTCTGGCAGAAAGTGTGAAAATGAAGCCAAGATGTCTTATTCATAGATCACCTGTTTATTGGAAAGTTTAAACATAGACTTGATGAACAGAAGGTTGAACAATACGTAAAACATGTTAGCAAGTCTAGCTGTATTACCTGCTGTCACATTTCAATTATTTCAGCAACACACTGGTATTAGCATTTTCAGAAATGTAAAAAAACATTATTCTGGCTTTTAAAGATAAAGTAAAAGTTTACTCAGCTCAAATCAAATGCTGTACTTTAGTGTAAAACAAAGCAAATACATATTTTTAATAATGGGTGTTAAACTATTAAAAAACAAAATATAAAGTGTCACAAATCAAGAATTTTAGATCAGTAAGTACAAAAGAAAATCTGGATCAGTTGAAAAAATGACAAAAAGTAAAAAAAAATCCAAGGCCACAAATGTGAAAGATGTATTAAGAAGCTGACATTTGACATTTGAATTTGGGAACAAGTATTAACACCTAAGCCTCCATATGTAAAAAAGAATGGGACTATCATAGACATCTACAGGAAAACGCACAGACAGTGAGAAGATTTCAGCAGGTGGATTTGATTTGAAGCCGAGTTAAAAAGCAGGCTGTGCAGTGCTCATTTTCAAAATTGTTCTTCAACAACTCAACTCAACAAGTTTAACAGTTTTGCAGTAAGAAACTCTTCACCATCAGGCCTAACAAAAAAAAGGGCAGTAATCTGCAAAAAAATGTACAAACGCTTTTCTCTCATTAATTTTTTTTAAAGAAATCAATTTGATACAAAACTGTAACACTATTATGTGTAACCTTCAAAAAACTTTGATTAAATGGTCAGGGCACAAAGATTTGATTGGCTCCAAAAGTTTCATCTATTTATCTGCGCAAGGGAAGTAAGCTCAGGCCTGTGATGGGATCGATGATGCACCTCTCTACCAGCTGTAGATAGGTGAGGTTCTCTTGAGTGTTGGGGTCAAAGAAGCCCTTGGTGTCATCATCGGGGTCAGACAGAATCTGATTCATTTCCTCATCAAAGTAACCTCTTTGGTATGCCACCTGCACAGGAACTCGATGGCTGTGGACGGGATCAATAATGCCTCCCGTGGCAATTTGTGCTTCCAGAAGGCGAATTCCATGATCTTTGACGATGAGGTCTTTTTTCAGGGCCTGGAACAGAGATATTGTGTTTCCTGTGTAGGGATCTTTGTATCCTGTGACTGCTCTTTCTGCTGACAGAAGTTTGTTTTTCCACTCATTGCCGACCACATTCTGCGCCACGGCCTCCTCCACAGTCAGTTTTCGGTCTTTGACTGGGTCAATGACATATCCAGTGGCCGCCTGGGCCTCCAACAGGACCAGAGAAGTGCCAGGAGTCAGCAGACGACGGTTTTTGGCGTCATAGATGCTTAGGGTCTCCTGGGTGGACTGCAAGTAGACTCCTGCAATGCTGTTGGTTCCCTCCAGGTACTTGCGCACTGAGTCCATTTCGCTCACTTCTGTCACTGTGACTTTTCCAGCCCTTAGATCTTTGTAAAGGCTCTCATCGATGATCTTGGATTTCAGCAGCTCGGAAGGACTGACATCCTTTCTGATTCCATGGAAACTCTGACTTTCAGTTGTCTCTGTGGTTGTTGTAGTGATAACTGTGGTTGTTGTGCTGCTGTCAACTTTTGTGTCAGGTGGCTCAAAAGTGACAATTGATGAGGAGGTTGTTGTTGTTGCTGTTGTTTGCTTCTGTATGATTGTGAGAATAATCTTCATGAAGCGCTCAATTGTGATGGACCCCGCCATGAACTGTTGCACTAGCTCTCGCCTCTTCTCCTCTGTGATGTACTTGGAGTAAAGCAGATCCCAGAGGGACACGGTTGTTCCTTGGTATTTCCCTCCTGCTCTTGTTGTTGTTTTGGACTTCAGGATGAGCTTTGTTGCCTCATCAACAAAGAAATAAAACTCTCCTTTCTTGACTATGACCAGTAAGCTCAGGCCTGTGATGGGATCGATGATGCACCTCTCTACCAGCTGTAGATAGGTGAGGTTCTCTTGAGTGTTGGGGTCAAAGAAGCCCTTGGTGTCATCATCGGGGTCAGACAGAATCTGATTCATTTCCTCATCAAAGTAACCTCTTTGGTATGCCACCTGCACAGGAACTCGATGGCTGTGGACGGGGTCGATAATGCCTCCCGTGGCAATTTGTGCTTCCAGAAGGCGAATTCCATGATCTTTGACGATGAGGTCTTTTTTCAGGGCCTGGAACAGAGATATTGTGTTTCCTGTGTAGGGATCTTTGTATCCTGTGACTGCTCTTTCTGCTGACAGAAGTTTGTTTTTCCACTCGTTGCCGACCACATTCTGCGCCACGGCCTCCTCCACAGTCAGTTTTCGGTCTTTGACTGGGTCAATGACAAATCCAGTGGCCGCCTGGGCCTCCAACAGGACCAGAGAAGTGCCAGGAGTCAGCAGACGACGGTTTTTGGCGTCATAGATGCTTAGGGTCTCTTGGGTGGACTGCAAGTAGACTCCTGCAATGCTGTTGGTTCCCTCCAGGTACTTGCGCACTGAGTCCATTTCGCTCACTTCTGTCACTGTGACTTTTCCAGCCCTTAGATCTTTGTAAAGGCTCTCATCGATGATCTTGGATTTCAGCAGCTCGGAAGGACTGACATCCTTTCTGATTCCATGGAAACTCTGACTTTCAGTTGTCTCTGTGGTTGTTGTAGTGATAACTGTGGTTGTTGTGCTGCTGTCAACTTTTGTGTCAGGTGGCTCACAAGTGACAATTGATGAGGAGGTTGTTGTTGTTGCTGTTGTTTGCTTCTGTATGATTGTGAGAATAATCTCCATGAAGCGCTTAATTGTGATGGACCCCGCCTTGAACTGTTGCACTAGCTCTCGCCTCTTCTCCTCTGTGATGTACTTGGAGTACAGCAGATCCCAGAGGGACACGGTTGTTCCTTGGTATTTCCCTCCTGCTCTTGTTGTTGTTTTGGACTTCAGGATGAGCTTTGTTGCCTCATCAACAAAGAAATAAAACTCTCCTTTCTTGACTATGACCAGTAAGCTCAGGCCTGTGATGGGATCGATGATGCACCTCTCTACCAGCTGTAGATAGGTGAGGTTCTCTTGAGTGTTGGGGTCAAAGAAGCCCTTGGTGTCATCATCGGGGTCAGACAGAATCTGATTCATTTCCTCATCAAAGTAACCTCTTTGGTAAGCCACCTGCACAGGAACTCGATGGCTGTGGACGGGGTCGATAATGCCTCCCGTGGCAATTTGTGCTTCCAGAAGGCGAATTCCATGATCCTTGACGATGAGGTCTTTTTTCAGGGCCTGGAACAGAGATATTGTGTTTCCTGTGTAGGGATCTTTGTATCCTGTGACTGCTCTTTCTGCTGACAGAAGTTTGTTTTTCCACTCGTTGCCGACCACATTCTGCGCCACGGCCTCCTCCACAGTCAGTTTTCGGTCTTTGACTGGGTCAATGACAAATCCAGTGGCCGCCTGGGCCTCCAACAGGACCAGAGAAGTGCCAGGAGTCAGCAGACCACGGTTTTTGGCGTCATAGATGCTTAGGGTCTCCTGGGTGGACTGCAAGTAGACTCCTGCAATGCTGTTGGTTCCCTCCAGGTACTTGCGCACTGAGTCCATTTCGCTCACTTCTGTCACTGTGACTTTTCCAGCCCTTAGATCTTTGTAAAGGCTCTCATCGATGATCTTGGATTTCAGCAGCTCGGAAGGACTGACATCCTTTCTGATTCCATGGAAACTCTGACTTTCAGTTGTCTCTGTGGTTGTTGTAGTGATAACTGTGGTTGTTGTGCTGCTGTCAACTTTTGTGTCAGGTGGCTCAAAAGTGACAATTGATGAGGAGGTTGTTGTTGTTGCTGTTGTTTGCTTCTGTATGATTGTGAGAATAATCTCCATGAAGCGCTCAATTGTGATGGACCCCGCCATGAACTGTTGCACTAGCTCTCGCCTCTTCTCCTCTGTGATGTACTTGGAGTAAAGCAGATCCCAGAGGGACACGGTTGTTCCTTGGTATTTCCCTCCTGCTCTTGTTGTTGTTTTGGACTTCAGGATGAGCTTTGTTGCCTCATCAACAAAGAAATAAAACTCTCCTTTCTTGACTATGACCAGTAAGCTCAGGCCTGTGATGGGATCGATGATGCACCTCTCTACCAGCTGAAGATAGGTGAGGTTCTCTTGAGTGTTGGGGTCAAAGAAGCCCTTGGTGTCATCATCGGGGTCAGACAGAATCTGATTCATTTCCTCATCAAAGTAACCTCTTTGGTATGCCACCTGCACAGGAACTCGATGGCTGTGGACGGGGTCGATAATGCCTCCCGTGGCAATTTGTGCTTCCAGAAGGCGAATTCCATGATCTTTGACGATGAGGTCTTTTTTCAGGGCCTGGAACAGAGATATTGTGTTTCCTGTGTAGGGATCTTTGTATCCTGTGACTGCTCTTTCTGCTGACAGAAGTTTGTTTTTCCACTCGTTGCCGACCACATTCTGCGCCACGGCCTCCTCCACAGTCAGTTTTCGGTCTTTGACTGGGTCAATGACAAATCCAGTGGCTGCCTGGGCCTCCAACAGGACCAGAGAAGTGCCAGGAGTCAGCAGACGACGGTTTTTGGCGTCATAGATGCTTAGGGTCTCCTGGGTGGACTGCAAGTAGACTCCTGCAATGCTGTTGGTTCCCTCCAGGTACTTGCGCACTGAGTCCATTTCGCTCACTTCTGTCACTGTGACTTTTCCAGCCCTTAGATCTTTGTAAAGGCTCTCATCGATGATCTTGGATTTCAGCAGCTCGGAAGGACTGACATCCTTTCTGATTCCATGGAAACTCTGACTTTCAGTTGTCTCTGTGGTTGTTGTAGTGATAACTGTGGTTGTTGTGCTGCTGTCAACTTTTGTGTCAGGTGGCTCACAAGTGACAATTGATGAGGAGGTTGTTGTTGTTGCTGTTGTTTGCTTCTGTATGATTGTGAGAATAATCTCCATGAAGCGCTCAATTGTGATGGACCCCGCCATGAACTGTTGCACTAGCTCTCGCCTCCTTTCCTCTGTGATGTACTTGGAGTACAGCAGATCCCAGAGGGACACGGTTGTTCCTTGGTATTTCCCTCCTGCTCTTGTTGTTGTTTTGGACTTCAGGATGAGCTTTGTTGCCTCATCAACAAAGAAATAAAACTCTCCTTTCTTGACTATGACCAGTAAGCTCAGGCCTGTGATGGGATCGATGATGCACCTCTCTACCAGCTGAAGATAGGTGAGGTTCTCTTGAGTGTTGGGGTCAAAGAAGCCCTTGGTGTCATCATCGGGGTCAGACAGAATCTGATTCATTTCCTCATCAAAGTAACCTCTTTGGTATGCCACCTGCACAGGAACTCGATGGCTGTGGACGGGGTCGATAATGCCTCCCGTGGCAATTTGTGCTTCCAGAAGGCGAATTCCATGATCTTTGACGATGAGGTCTTTTTTCAGGGCCTGGAACAGAGATATTGTGTTTCCTGTGTAGGGATCTTTGTATCCTGTGACTGCTCTTTCTGCTGACAGAAGTTTGTTTTTCCACTCGTTGCCGACCACATTCTGCGCCACGGCCTCCTCCACAGTCAGTTTTCGGTCTTTGACTGGGTCAATGACAAATCCAGTGGCCGCCTGGGCCTCCAACAGGACCAGAGAAGTGCCAGGAGTCAGCAGACCACGGTTTTTGGCGTCATAGATGCTTAGGGTCTCCTGGGTGGACTGCAAGTAGACTCCTGCAATGCTGTTGGTTCCCTCCAGGTACTTGCGCACTGAGTCCATTTCGCTCACTTCTGTCACTGTGACTTTTCCAGCCCTTAGATCTTTGTAAAGGCTCTCATCGATGATCTTGGATTTCAGCAGCTCGGAAGGACTGACATCCTTTCTGATTCCATGGAAACTCTGACTTTCAGTTGTCTCTGTGGTTGTTGTAGTGATAACTGTGGTTGTTGTGCTGCTGTCAACTTTTGTGTCAGGTGGCTCACAAGTAACAATTGATGAGGAGGTTGTTGTTGTTGCTGTTGTTTGCTTTTGTATGATTGTGAGAATAATCTCCATGAAGCGCTCAATTGTGATGGACCCCGCCATGAACTGTTGCACTAGCTCTCGCCTCCTTTCCTCTGTGATGTACTTGGAGTACAGCAGATCCCAGAGGGACACAGTTGTTCCTTGGTATTTCCCTCCTGCTCTTGTTGTTGTTTTGGACTTCAGGATGAGCTTTGTTGCCTCATCAACAAAGAAATAAAACTCTCCTTTCTTGACTATGACCAGTAAGCTCAGGCCTGTGATGGGATCGATGATGCACCTCTCTACCAGCTGTAGATAGGTGAGGTTCTCTTGAGTGTTGGGGTCAAAGAAGCCCTTGGTGTCATCATCGGGGTCAGACAGAATCTGATTCATTTCCTCATCAAAGTAACCTCTTTGGTATGCCACCTGCACAGGAACTCGATGGCTGTGGACGGGGTCGATAATGCCTCCCGTGGCAATTTGTGCTTCCAGAAGGCGAATTCCATGATCCTTGACGATGAGGTCTTTTTTCAGGGCCTGGAACAGAGATATTGTGTTTCCTGTGTAGGGATCTTTGTATCCTGTGACTGCTCTTTCTGCTGACAGAAGTTTGTTTTTCCACTCGTTGCTGACCACATTCTGCGCCACGGCCTCCTCCACAGTCAGTTTTCGGTCTTTGACTGGGTCAATGACAAATCCAGTGGCTGCCTGGGCCTCCAACAGGACCAGAGAAGTGCCAGGAGTCAGCAGACCACGGGTTTTGGCGTCGTAGATGCTTAGGGTCTCCTGGGTGGACTGCAAGTAGACTCCTGCAATGCTGTTGGTTCCCTCCAGGTACTTGCGCACTGAGTCCATTTCGCTCACTTCTGTCACTGTGACTTTTCCAGCCCTTAGATCTTTGTAAAGGCTCTCATCGATGATCTTGGATTTCAGCAGCTCGGAAGGACTGACATCCTTTCTGATTCCATGGAAACTCTGACTTTCAGTTGTCTCTGTGGTTGTTGTAGTGATAACTGTGGTTGTTGTGCTGCTGTCAACTTTTGTGTCAGGTGGCTCAAAAGTGACAATTGATGAGGAGGTTGTTGTTGTTGCTGTTGTTTGCTTCTGTATGATTGTGAGAATAATCTCCATGAAGCGCTCAATTGTGATGGACCCTGCCTTGAACTGTTGCACTAGCTCTCGCCTCTTCTCCTCTGTGATGTACTTGGAGTACAGCAGATCCCAGAGGGACACGGTTGTTCCTTGGTATTTCCCTCCTGCTCTTGTTGTTGTTTTGGACTTCAGGATGAGCTTTGTTGCCTCATCAACAAAGAAATAAAACTCTCCTTTCTTGACTATGACCAGTAAGCTCAGGCCTGTGATGGGATCGATGATGCACCTCTCTACCAGCTGAAGATAGGTGAGGTTCTCTTGAGTGTTGGGGTCAAAGAAGCCCTTGGTGTCATCATCGGGGTCAGACAGAATCTGATTCATTTCCTCATCAAAGTAACCTCTTTGGTATGCCACCTGCACAGGAACTCGATGGCTGTGGACGGGGTCGATAATGCCTCCTGTGGCAATTTGTGCTTCCAGAAGGCGAATTCCATGATCCTTGACGATGAGGTCTTTTTTCAGGGCCTGGAACAGAGATATTGTGTTTCCTGTGTAGGGATCTTTGTATCCTGTGACTGCTCTTTCTGCTGACAGAAGTTTGTTTTTCCACTCGTTGCCGACCACATTCTGCGCCACGGCCTCCTCCACAGTCAGTTTTCGGTCTTTGACTGGGTCAATGACAAATCCAGTGGCTGCCTGGGCCTCCAACAGGACCAGAGAAGTGCCAGGAGTCAGCAGACCACGGGTTTTGGCGTCGTAGATGCTTAGGGTCTCCTGGGTGGACTGCAAGTAGACTCCTGCAATGCTGTTGGTTCCCTCCAGGTACTTGCGCACTGAGTCCATTTCGCTCACTTCTGTCACTGTGACTTTTCCAGCCCTTAGATCTTTGTAAAGGCTCTCATCGATGATCTTGGATTTCAGCAGCTCGGAAGGACTGACATCCTTTCTGATTCCATGGAAACTCTGACTTTCAGTTGTCTCTGTGGTTGTTGTAGTGATAACTGTGGTTGTTGTGCTGCTGTCAACTTTTGTGTCAGGTGGCTCAAAAGTGACAATTGATGAGGAGGTTGTTGTTGTTGCTGTTGTTTGCTTCTGTATGATTGTGAGAATAATCTCCATGAAGCGCTCAATTGTGATGGACCCTGCCTTGAACTGTTGCACTAGCTCTCGCCTCTTCTCCTCTGTGATGTACTTGGAGTACAGCAGATCCCAGAGGGACACGGTTGTTCCTTGGTATTTCCCTCCTGCTCTTGTTGTTGTTTTGGACTTCAGGATGAGCTTTGTTGCCTCATCAACAAAGAAATAAAACTCTCCTTTCTTGACTATGACCAGTAAGCTCAGGCCTGTGATGGGATCGATGATGCACCTCTCTACCAGCTGAAGATAGGTGAGGTTCTCTTGAGTGTTGGGGTCAAAGAAGCCCTTGGTGTCATCATCGGGGTCAGACAGAATCTGATTCATTTCCTCATCAAAGTAACCTCTTTGGTATGCCACCTGCACAGGAACTCGATGGCTGTGGACGGGGTCGATAATGCCTCCCGTGGCAATTTGTGCTTCCAGAAGGCGAATTCCATGATCCTTGACGATGAGGTCTTTTTTCAGGGCCTGGAACAGAGATATTGTGTTTCCTGTGTAGGGATCTTTGTATCCTGTGACTGCTCTTTCTGCTGACAGAAGTTTGTTTTTCCACTCGTTGCCGACCACATTCTGCGCCACGGCCTCCTCCACAGTCAGTTTTCGGTCTTTGACTGGGTCAATGACAAATCCAGTGGCTGCCTGGGCCTCCAACAGGACCAGAGAAGTGCCAGGAGTCAGCAGACGACGGTTTTTGGCGTCGTAGATGCTTAGGGTCTCCTGGGTGGACTGCAAGTAGACTCCTGCAATGCTGTTGGTTCCCTCCAGGTACTTGCGCACTGAGTCCATTTCGCTCACTTCTGTCACTGTGACTTTTCCAGCCCTTAGATCTTTGTAAAGGCTCTCATCGATGATCTTAGATTTCAGCAGCTCGGAAGGACTGACATCCTTTCTGATTCCATGGAAACTCTGACTTTCAGTTGTCTCTGTGGTTGTTGTAGTGATAACTGTGGTTGTTGTGCTGCTGTCAACTTTTGTGTCAGGTGGCTCACAAGTGACAATTGATGAGGAGGTTGTTGTTGTTGCTGTTGTTTGCTTCTGTATGATTGTGAGAATAATCTCCATGAAGCGCTCAATTGTGATGGACCCCGCCATGAACTGTTGCACTAGCTCTCGCCTCTTCTCCTCTGTGATGTACTTGGAGTAAAGCAGATCCCAAAGGGACACGGTTGTTCCTTGGTATTTCCCTCCTGCTCTTGTTGTTGTTTTGGACTTCAGGATGAGCTTTGTTGCCTCATCAACAAAGAAATAAAACTCTCCTTTCTTGACTATGACCAGTAAGCTCAGGCCTGTGATGGGATCGATGATGCACCTCTCTACCAGCTGTAGATAGGTGAGGTTCTCTTGAGTGTTGGGGTCAAAGAAGCCCTTGGTGTCATCATCGGGGTCAGACAGAATCTGATTCATTTCCTCATCAAAGTAACCTCTTTGGTATGCCACCTGCACAGGAACTCGATGGCTGTGGACGGGGTCAATAATGCCTCCCGTGGCAATTTGTGCTTCCAGAAGGCGAATTCCATGATCTTTGACGATGAGGTCTTTTTTCAGGGCCTGGAACAGAGATATTGTGTTTCCTGTGTAGGGATCTTTGTATCCTGTGACTGCTCTTTCTGCTGACAGAAGTTTGTTTTTCCACTCATTGCCGACCACATTCTGCGCCACGGCCTCCTCCACAGTCAGTTTTCGGTCTTTGACTGGGTCAATGACATATCCAGTGGCCGCCTGGGCCTCCAACAGGACCAGAGAAGTGCCAGGAGTCAGCAGACCACGGGTTTTGGCGTCATAGATGCTCATGACTTTCTTTGTAGCCTCAACCCTGACACCTGCTATACAGTTTGTAGCTCCAAGGTACTTTTGAATTGATTCCATTTTGTTTACATTTTCTTCAGTTACCGTACCCTGAACAATCTCTGTAAAAAGCTCCTTTGAGATGATTTTTGACTCATACAGCTCACTTGCTGAGACCTGTTTGCGTAGCCCTTTGAACTTTCTTTCTTTTGATGACACCTCTGTTATGATAACAGTAAGTATTTCAATGATCTCCTCTATTGTCATGACTCCTGTTCTGTATTGTCGTATGATCTGTTCCCTTTTTTGTTCTGATATGTATTCAGAGAGCAACACTTCCCACAATGTCACGTCTTTGTTTTTGAACTTCCCAGCATTTACTTCAAGTCTTTTGTTTTTAAATACAAGCTGTATCTTCTCGTCTGTGTGAAGTACTGGGGATTCATCTTCATACAGGGGTAGAAGAAGCAGACTAGTTAGAGGATCTGTCTCACAGCGCTCTGTGAGCTTATTGTAAGAGAGGTTTACTTTGGTGTTTGGGTCAAAGAATCCCATTGCATCTTCAGTTGGGTTTGACAGAAGTTTGTGCATATCCTCATTGAGATACCCCTTCTTGATAGCGACAGCAACTGGGAGTCTGTGACTGTGATTTGGGTCAATTATCCCCCCAGTTGCCATTTGAGCATCAAGAAGACGAATGCCATCACTTCTCTGAATAAGCTGTTCACTCATGGCTTCAAACAGTGATATAGTTGCATCTGTGCATGGATCTTTATAGCCAGTTACAGCTCGTTCAGCTGAGAGAAGTTGCTCAAGCACATCTGGTCCAATGACTTTCTCTCTTGCTGCCTCATCAACAGCATAGGACTTGTTTTTTATGGGATCAATGATCCATCCTGTGGCAGCCTGAGCCTCAAGTAGTACAAGTGCAATGCCTGGTGTCAACCGATCTTCTTTTTGTGCTTCATATATGCTCATCACTTTTTGTGATGGATAAACCTTGATTCCAGCAATGCTGCCAGTTCCTTTTATGTACTTCTTTACTGGTTCACGTTCACTTACTGCTTCAAAAGTAAGTTTTCCTTCCTTTACCTGCTTGAATGTATCTGCATCAATGATATCTGCATCAAGAAGTTGTTGTGCAGAGACTGGCTTTCTCAGGCCCATGACTGTGGGCATTTCACTTTTCTCCAGTTTTTCAATAGTTGACATCACCATTGTGATTATGGTTTGTGTGTTCATCTGCCTTGTTCTGTATTTTTCAATGATTTCAAGCCGCTGGTCCTCAGTGAAGTACCCAGAATGAATCAAGTCCCACAAAGTGACTGATTTTCCTGAATAGTGCCCCAGTGATACACTCACAGCTGTCTTTTCAAATTCTTGTTTTATCTCCGTGGTAGTACACACTTTGTCCTTGGCATCAGTAGCTTTTTGTGTGTCATTCAGTGGCAGGAGAGACAGTCCAGTTTTCTCATCTTGAACACACCTACCCAACATCTCCATGTAGGTCAGATTGTCATGTGTCTTTGGGTCAAAAAAGCCCTTTGTGTCATCAGTGGAGTCGCATAAGATACGATAAAGTTCTGCATCAAAATATCCTTTCTTGTATGCGACTTCAAGGGGTATGTGAAGACACTTCAAGGGATCAATGATTCCACCTGTGGCAATCTGAGCCTCAAGTAAACGGATACCATGCTGTTTAACAATGAGATCCTTTTGCAATGCTTGAAAAAGTGAGATCTTCTGACCAGTGTATGGATCTGTGTAACCAGTGACAGCCCTTTCTGCAGACAATAACTTTTCATACATCTGCGGACAAACTACCTTTTCTTTGAGAGCTTGTTCCACTGTGAGCTTTTTGTTCTTTAAAGGGTCAATGATGAATCCTGTGGCTGCTTGTGCCTCAAGAAGACAGAGGGCAGTGCTGGGTGTGAGAACGCCAATTCTCTGAGCCTCATGGATGCTTAACTTCTGATTCGAGGGTTGAAGTATCACTCCAGCCACACAACTTTTTCCTTGAAGGTAGGATCTCACACTGTCGATTTTCATCAGATCACTGGTTGTTATTTTTCCATCGATCAAGCTGTTATATGTTCGTTCATCCACAATATTAAGCTCTAGAAGGTCCACAACAGAGACCTTTCCTCTGAGACCTTCCAAACTCAGCTCTGCTTGCAGTTTTATCTCTTTGCTCTCAATGACCTCTTGAATGGTGATAATGAGTTGCTCAATTGTGATTTTCCTGGACTTGAAGAGCTTGAAAAACTCCTGTCTTTTTTCCTCTGTCAGATACTCTGAATTGATAAGATCCCAGAGCGTTGTGTACCTCCCCTTGAACCTGCCATACTTCACGGTGACTATTGTTGTCTGGAATGTTTCCCTCATATTATCATCAATGTTGATTTTCTTGCCTTTGCTTTTGAGTGGCAAAAGGCACAGACCTGTGCTTGGATCAGTAACACATCTTTCCATGAGCTGCAGGTATGTCAGGTTCTCAAGGCTGTTGGGGTCAAAGAAGCCCTTGGTGTCATCATCAGGGTCGGACAGAATCTGATTCATTTCCTCATTAAAGTATCCCCTCTTGTAGGCCACATGAACAGGAATGCGATGGCTGTTCACTGGGTCAATGATACCTCCAGTGGCAATCTGTGCTTCCAAGAGTCGAATTCCATGGTCTTTCAGGATGAGATCTTTCTGCATAGCTTGAAACAGAGAGATTATTTTGTCGTCATGTGGATCTTTGTACCCTGTGACTGCTTTCTCTGCTGAGCGCAGCTTTTGACAAACATCCGGCCCCACAATTTTGGCTTTGACAGCATCATCAACCGAAAACTTCCGGTTTCCAATGGGGTCAATGACAAAACCTGTTGCTGCTTGTGCCTCCAGTAGAATCAAGGCAGTTCCTGGCATCAGCTTTCCTTTTTGTCTAGCCTGGTAGATGGTCATGGTTTGAGAATCAGGAAGCAGAATACCTGCAATGCTGCTTTTCCCCTGTAGGTACACACTGACATTCTCATCTTCTGTCACATCCCTCACTGACTTCTTCCCCTTTTTCAGATCTTCCAGGACCTCCTCACTGATGATGTCTGCATCTACAAGTTGTTTGGCTGTGACAGTGTCTCTGATACCTTCAAAAACAACCTTGGTTGTTTTCACAGACGTTTCTATGACTTCCAGAACCTTTGTGATGATGACTTTGATATTGAACTCCCCTTCTCTGAATTTTCTTATGATGTCTCTCCTCTGGTTTTCATCAAAGTACTCTGACATCAGCAGCTCCCACAGGGATACTGTCATCCCCATGTACTTCCCACACGTCACTTTCACTTTCTCTTGTTGGAAGGTCACTTTGGTTCTGTAGTCGATGAAGTTAAAATTGAATTTGTCTGACTTGTCACAGAGAGGGAGGAGGCAAAGTCCAGTGACAGGATCAATGACACACCTTTCCATCAGCTGAAGGTAAGTGAGATTGTCCTCTGTGTTTGGGTCAAAAAACCCTTTTGTGTCATCTCCAGAGTCCTCCAGTACGGCTTTCATTTCTTCATCGAAATAACCTCTTTTGAAGGCGATTTCTGTGGGAAGTCGATGACTGTTGATGGGGTCGATTATTCCACCTGTGGCAATTTGTGCCTCAAGTAGACGTATTCCATGCTCTTTCACGATGAGGTCTTTTGACAGTGCTTGAAACAGAGAGATGGTCTTGCCTGAGTATGGGTCTTTGTATCCAGTAACCGCTCGCTCTGCAGAGTGCAGCTTTGCATGAAATTCTGGGCCAAAAAGTTTGTTCTTGACAGCCTCATCCACTGTGAACTTTTTATTCTCCACAGGATCAATCATGAATCCAGTAGCAGCCTGTGCCTCCAGTAATACTAGTGCTGTCCCAGGCATCAATATGCCTTCTTTCATTGCTTGATAAATGCTCATCCTCTGGTTTGATGAGAGTATGGCAATGCCTGCGATACTACCTTTGCCCTCCAGGTACTCTTTCACGGTTTCCATCAACATCACATCTTGAGTTGTCGTGTTTCCCTTCTGAAGGTCGTCAAATGTTTCTTTGTCAATGATCTTTGATTCCAGGAGTTCAGTGGAAGAAATTCCTTTTCGCAAACCTTTGAAGGTGATGCAGACAGGAAGGAGCAACAGGCCCGTGTCAGGCTCCACAGTGCATTTCTCCAGGAGGTTTTGGTAGTTCAGATTTTCTCGTGAACTTGGGTTGTAGAAGACTTTGAGCTCTGACCTCTGGTTGTTGAGCAAACCTTTTTCATAGTATCCCTTCTGAATTGCAGTGTCAACAGAGATGTTTGTCTTTTCTGAGGGATCAAACAAGCCTTTTGTGGCTATCTGTGCTTCAAGAAGCCTCAATCCGTAATCTCTTGGCACTAAATCTTTTTGCATGGCTTGGTATAAAGAAATGATCTGATTGGTGTAGGGATCTACATAGCCATTGACGGCTTTTTCTGCTGTGAGGAGCTTCTCCTTCATCTCTGGTCCAACTATTCCTTCTTTAACAGCATCTTCAATCTGAAGTATTCGATTGTTAATTGGATCTACGAGACCTACTGTTGCTGCTTGTGCTTCAAGCAAGGCTAATGCAGTACCTGGCTTAAGAAGACGTTTCTTCATAGCTTGGTATATGGTCACTTTCTCTTTTGTCTTCTCCAGAAAAATTCCTGCCACAGGTCCATGGACCTCTGTGTAGCCATTTTGCTTTACCTCAGTATCTTGACTGACGGAGTCCATCTTGGCTTACAACACTCTGTGACACAGAAACAATAGTTAAAATTGGTTTAGATAGCGCACATTTTGCCTACAAGTAAATATAAACAAAAAATGTGTTTATGGTAATAGAGTTATATGCAATCTTCTAGTTTGAATTGATAACTTCCTGTCAAACCTTTTTGCTTCTGATCGCTGGTTCCTGGAAGTCCCCAAAATCCTGGATACAGACTAAAGGTGTCTGGGGTGTTATTGACGGAGCCCCGAGACCTTGAAACTCCTTTTCTGTAAAGATGAAAGAAACATAACAAACTTTGCTCATTAAATTACTTCTGTTTTCCCCTATTTTATTGACCTGTTTCAAAGTTACACTGAATTATCTTCAAAAGCAGGAGTATCAAGATCAGTACAAGGATGACATGATACCAGAGGGAAATTTCACTGTCATAAAAGCCCTGACATGGTGACATTTAATCATTTAAAATCCAAGCAACAATTATTTCCTCACAGTAAACGCATTGGTACATGCTGCGTACGGACATGATATAGCTACCCTTTTTCTTTTATTCTGTTATCTCTGATGACAAATGAACCGTCTGCAGGTTCATGAATGTGTATCACAAAGCATGCTGTATATGTTTTGACATGCACAGACGTAATACTTTGAAACTGGAAGTGCCGGATGCCCTTTGCTGTCACAACACAGGTGCTGAAATATGGAAACAAAAACATTGTGTAATTCTTAACCTTCTTAATCCTAACATCACAATGCTTTTTATCACATTTACTTTTGCCTCCATTGACTAGGAAACTTTATACTCAGTATATTATCAATACTGAGTCTCTGAGCTTTTTTCTTTGCTGTTTTGTGCCGGACATTAACCTCACAGAACACAGTGTGGACTTCTGTTGCTCCAAAATGTTTGCAAAAGTGGGTAAAAGGATAGTGAAATGCAGACGCCAGACTTGCAAGGGACAAAAAGATCACCCACGTTAACTTAATCCACTGAAGCTCATAAAACCTCTTCTCATCAGTTTAGAGGACAATGCATCAAACCCAGGGTCTTCCTTGCTGCCCCTCTCCATAGGGATGGGAATCAAGAACCGGTTCTAGTTGAGAACCGGTTCTAAATGGTTAAATCCAAAGACATCATTTACATTTTATCTTAACGATTCCTTTCTTCTGGGTACCTTGAAAAACGGTCTCGCGAGTGCCAGTCTATGCGGGAACAGAGACAGAGGAAAAAATATGGCAGACAATACGAAAAGTCGGCAGAAACGAGCTGAAGCGTGGCTTAATGTTACTGAGAAAGACGACAACAGTGCAACGTTTGTCAAGCAGAAAGAACATGCAAAGATGGAAACACCAACAACATGAAAATTATCTCATATTTAAAAAACACGAGTATTAGATCATGACAACATGTCAAATGGAGTAGAAAACTGTCGTTCTGTTTTTATGTCTCTCTAAAATTCACATATAGAGGTGAACTTGGGTTTATAAACTCTACAGTAAACTGTCAAAGTAAAGAACTTTATATTTTCAGGACAGCAAATATTCAGAATCAGAGGGCTGTTGTTTTCGGCTTATCTGAATAGTCTGCATGAAATCATTAAAGGCACACGCGTTTGAATCCGCCCAACGTTAATGTTGAGGAAAACTTGGATTATTTCACCTTGTTATGAACTTTAAACCGTGCTCCTGTCAGGGGTCATTTTACAACGTCCTCTTTTAGGGGGGGGGGGGCTGTCCGGGGGAGTTTATAAAATCCTTCAAATGTCCTGAACATGTTTTCATTCATTATAAAACAGAGCAGAGGATCAGTCCTCTCTGTAGCTCCGCCCCTCTGCTCACTTATAAGAAAAGTCACTGATGAGACGCACACATGCACTTCTGTCTTTGGGAATTCAGAATAATGTGTTTAACTGAGTTAGAAGTGCATAAAAACTCTCGACCCAACAAAAATAAATAAATAAATAAATGATAATTTCACACACATGTCAGCCCCGCGCAGCAGTGTCCTCTTTTTAAGGATTCAGAATATGGTCACTCTAACATATGTCCTGTGTTAACATAAACACAATGACAGAAACTCTGAACAACAACATTTTTGTTTGATTATTTTAGACTCTCACTGAAGGTGGCGTACATCTGTCTCTGTTATCAGACTCTATAAAATGTTGAGTTAACGGTGAAAACCTGTAGTCTACTTTTTTAATCAAAGAAAGGCATTGATAAGGGAATCGTTAAAGAATTGAATTGATAATGGCATCGATATCAATAAAATCTTATCAGTTCTCATCCCTACCTCTCCAACACATCTGGGACTGGACTGACTGACCCACATTCAAATCCCATTAACCGCTGCTTTACTGGTTTTTCATGTCATTATTTTGTTTCATGTATGCTTTTGTTTCAGGTGTTCTGGAAAGTGCTTTATGAATAAGATTGATTATTATCATCATTAAATCAGATCATCGGGGCATAGATACAGTAGCTCTGTCAAGTCTGGAAGTGCACCAGCAAAATTCAATCCAACTCAGAATTAAACTTTTATGTGTCGTCGCAGAGGCTTTTTCCACCCTCCTTGTGAAAGGGTGAGCGGCTGCATTTTTATGTAGTAGATGACGTCACTGCTGGCAGTAGGAGGGAAAGTAATAGCTCTCTGGAAAAGAGGCGCGAATGGAAACCAAGCCGTGAAGTTCACAAACCTGCTGGCTGTAAAAGTACGACTGAGAGAGTACATACGGCTCCCAGTTCAACAGTTGATAATAGGCTACTCATGTCACTTCAGATCTTAGCGTACAAAAGGTGTGTTATGTTTTTCATTACATGCGATTCTTCACCTGCGAGGTCACAGTTCAGTGTCATACAGCAGGCAAACTGCCCACACAAAGATGACTAAAGTCAGTGTTTGTTCAACAGCAGCAGCGTCGCGGCGGTGAACTCTCTCTGCTGACTCTGCTGTTTGAGACTGTCACCCACTTTGTAAATGTTTGAACTGTTTCAAACATGTTGAACATTCACTTTGCATTTGTACACCTTCTCAGTTTGCTTATCATGTTGTAAAACGCAAATCACCTGTAAAGCAGACACACACTGTAGCTCTGCTGTTGACTGATCTCAGTTTACTTTCAGCTCTTAGTCAAATGGAGTCACGCCCGACAGGTGAGAGAGTTTCAGCGAACTTGGCTCTAACTCATCACAAGTTTATCAATAAACACGTTTCAGATCAATTCACTGATTTGTTTGTCCACAGCTCCATAAGGAGGCGGGATCTATGACCTATACTGCAGCCCGTCAGCAGAGGGCGCTGTTCTCGTAGTGGCTTCACCCAGGGAGGAGGCAGATGGCGTCCATTCTAGGTACAGTCAGATTGGTGTAACGTACAACTTCATCTCCATTTTCTAGTCTGAAACACCGCCAAACCAAACGCCACGCTCCGAGCTGCCGTCCGCCACCTTTGCTTGTTGGCGCCTGGGTAGTAGATTGATTATGGCAGCAGCTACTAATCACACCTACAACCCGGCTGGCAGCGTTCGACTGCGCTTCAGCTCAGACACAACATGTGACAGACACTTCAGACCCGCAGTAATATAGTAATACCTTTAACTGACGAGTAACAATCCAGCGCTAATTATAGCTGCAGCGCTAAAACAAACCAGTCAATAAACACCTACACAGCAGATCCAGTCTGACTCTGACTCTGACGGCATGTTTCATCACAGAGATGTCACATGACTTTATTTAATACCAGCAGTTAAATCGAGAAAAAAAGGCCGACTTTTCTAACAAATTCAGTTTCATTGTTAAATTCAAAGTTAATCCTCTCTTAAGGAACACATAATGGCTTTGACGTGTGCCTCATTAATTCACCTGTCTGAATGAGTTACGGCCTCAAACCGAGCCAAGAATCTGTCTGAGAGACAGCCAGTTTTTACAGGTGACAACCCCGAGAACGTGCTACCTGTGTGAGCTGTCAGGAAAGAAAAAGACGCCACAGGGCAGCTCGGAAAATCTGACGACTCTGCAGATTGTTGCACACACAGCACACCTGCAACGACCCAATGCAACAAAACGATGAACCTCAGGTCCTTATCTCAGCTGTACATTCTTGACACTACCTTAGCAGTAAAGAAAAGGGAGGTGAGCGAGGCGCTGCAGGATCATCTGATGTTGCATAATCGCCTCTAAAGCTGTGACAGAAACAAAGGTTCTCATGTGTCAACAGCCCCGGGATTTAGACGCAGAGCTCAGACTTGTCCAAACCCATCACAGTGACATAGAGGCCTACTTTTACTCAAACTTGATACGAACATCTGTGGTCAAAGGTAATCTCTGAGGAATGTTTGCTTTCCCTTTTTATCAGAGGGGTGTTGGCAGGATACGTCATGTTATTTCTCCACTTCAGGCGTTTCTGCCTCGCTCTCTCTGCCTCACTCGGACGGTTCAGTTTGGAGAGAATAAAACTTTCACAACATAATCAGCTGTTTTAAAAAAAACTGTTCGTTTACTTTACAACGTATAAAAAAAGAAAGCTGGGTTGAGTTTGAAACCACCAAAGTTAAAAACTCTGCCCTCACTCACCTGAAGGTTCTGGGAAAGTCCCGCTCTGTCTCTCAGCAGTCTGTCTCAGCTGGCATGGGAGACATTTGGAGTCTGAGGTGCTCCAAACATCTCAGTGGTAATCCTCACTGCTCACTGGTCAGATATAAAGCAGGTCCGGCGGTTTAACTCCTCCCTCCTCTGCGCAGGAACAGCCTCCTCCGCTCCGTCTGTGAGGGAGTAACGGCCACTGAACTCTCTGCACTGAACTCAGGATACCAGAGATTCCTGCAGACTTCCTCAGAGCGTCTCCATTGTGCTCTTAAACAATAACGGCGTGCAGATCGAGCCTTTCTTACTGTACTATAGGTGAGAGGACTCAAACAGTATCTAATGATAACATACAAGAGCTTCTGTTGGTCAAACAGACCTTTGTGATCGATGGATGAGCGGTGAATGATTTTAGAAATCAGAGAAAATGAACAGCAGCTTTTATCCTCCTTCTTATCTTACAGCCGAGTTTTAACAAGCCGAGCCGGAAACCCGGTGATTAGAGTCTTTGTGTGAGAACTTCCCTCAGGTTTGGCAGGTTCTCAGGTCTGAGACTCCACACGTTAGTGGGGGTGGGGGTGGGTGGGGGCGTCTGTCTCTTCATTCACTTTAAAAAATAAATTGCGACACACGACAGGAACTGAAAACATCTGTTCGAACTCCCAGAAACCAGAAGCAAAGACATAAGTCACACAGGATGACGTCCTGAATCACTCAGTGAACATATTTAAAATAACAGATAAATCATTTCACTCTGCAGGTGAAACCACAACAGGTGTTCATGACTCTGAAGGACTCTGTCACACTGGAGAGAAAGTCTCCTCAGGTCCACGTTTCTGCACAGAAATCTCTCAGTGTGTCTTTTTTTGGGGTGGGGGCTTCAGGTCTCGATAACTCAAGACAAAACTGAGAGGACTCAGAACCTGCTGAGTCGAGAGTTTTTCATGGTTTATGTAAGAGACACTGTGGATTCAGGCAGAGAGCCTTTAGATCAGTGATCAGACTTTTAGTTTGTGTCGTGGTGTTTCATCCTTTAACAGTAAAATTAGTATGAAAACTGTTCTTAAAGGGTGAAATATTAATAAAGTTTATGATCTTCACGATTAAAAATGTCGGCTCCTGAGAAGCTGAAGCTGCTTTTTGATTTCCTGATACATGGGAACCTTAAGACGACCTGAACTGAGCTCACCTGGACGGACAGACAGACACAGACAGACAGACACAGACACAGACACAGACACACAGATCTCACACGTCAATCAGATGATTCATTTACTCTGAAGACGAGGATGATTTCACCGTCACTCACGATAACGTATTCAGTCTTTTTTTTGTCACCTGTCTTCTCACGTTCGTCACCAACAGTTTTCACTCTCGGTGATCCAGGGTGTGGTCTGAAAAGTGAGGAAGGACAAAGAAGAAGTGGTGAAAAAGAGAGAAAAGGGATGGTTTTGGTTTTGATGATACACAACGGCGAGTTCACGCCTCTGCGTTCCCTGGAAGAGGAAGGATCAAGTCTGGATCGGTCACTCTTCTCAATTCTTGGTGAAAGAAATTTGGAAAAACCCAAACTGGTTGTTGATGTTTATGAACTGACGCCACCTTTGTGGTGAACTAACATGAACCCGAGCCAGTCAGCAGGAGGCGCTGTGTTTGAAACTGAGACATGATTGAATCTGGATGCTGTTCCTGGATCTTGTTGGTAAACCACTCTGGAATAAATGAGTTTTTATAACCTGAACCAGGACTCTGTACACAGAGGCAGGTCTGGACCAGCAGGACTGTAATCCTGCCTTCTGGTCTTCAGTTTTAACACATGAGTCAGACTGAAATTGCACTAAATTGAACGTCTCATTGTGCTTCACCTTCTTCATCAAATGACCTCCAATCAAAGTTCATATCAAGCTTACAGAAAAAGGCCACGGTACGAGCGGCTGCAGCCTGTGGACACAGGCCCTCATGAATGTTGATGATGAAATAATTCAGTTTGACAAAAACTGCCGAGTCAGAAAAAACAACCCGAGAGTTTCCACCGTCCCTCCCATCACCCACTCCTCATTTCTTTAGGCGTGGAGCTCCCACTGCAGCCTTTAACCCTTCTCTCTCTAATCGCTCTCACACAGACACACACACACACACACACACACACACACACACACACACACACACACACCTTTCACCACATTTTGTTTGTCTTTGTTTCCTAAAGTCTGTAAATCTGAAGAGTGAAAAACTAAAGATTACAAACGATGATGTGAGATGTTTAGAGCCCGACAGATATGGATCTTTGGGGGCCGATGCCAATATCGATTAATGGAGGGGGGGGTCCGATAACTGATTAATCAGCCGATTATTTTACATTTTTATGAAGTTATAAAATATATATACATACTGTAGATATCTAAAGATATCTGATCAAACTCGGACCAGAGAAGCGTTTTGAACCCAGCGGGGAACATGGTGAAGTGGGTTGAACTGAAACTTGTTGACTTATTGTGTTTTTCACAAACTGGTTTATTTCCCGTTGAGGCGGAGCACTCTCCTCCGTGTCCCTGAGCTGCTGCTTCAGATCCGTCACTCTGCTGTGCTGTGAGGTAGTTAGTGGATGAAGATCTTGAAACTGAATCTTATTCTCCTCATTTTATTTCTAAAAATATCGGAGAAAATCGGCGAGTTTTGGCTGATTACCGATTAGTCTCAAACGGGCTAAAATTTGCCGATTTAATCGACTCGCCAATAAATCGCGCCGGCCGTAGTTAAAGACCCTCAGACTGAAAACAGCTCTGACGAGTTCACTTCTCCTTTAATCTAATCACTCAGTTTTTTCCTCACATGACCTGCGAACCGCTCAGGCGTCTGTTTAACACGCCGCACTGTTTACTTTAGCGATGGTGTTCAAACAAAGTCACGCCCTGATCTCTGTGTTGTTCTGTGATTCTTCTTTACATAATGATGGTTTCATATGACTCGTCTTGGAGCCGTAGTTCACCGTTTCTTGTGCAATGCACCTTTAATTTACCAGTAAATACCAAATACTGTTTAAATGACAGACACGTCAAACTCTCTGTATGCAAATTCTAAAACACGGGTCCGGACAGGTTTTGATTGGTGAGGTGTTGTCAAGGGTGAATAATCAGATTTGATTGTCTGCAGGCGTGAATCCATCGGCAGATTGATGGTGTGTGAAGGTGGAGTGAAGGTGGAAATGGAAAAACACCAACAGGTTTGAGTACGGAGAGAAATCACAAACACAAACAGCAGGAGGACGTTTGGATGAACTCCTACATTTCTTTGCTCAAACAACCTCACAGTCCAACCTGACATTTTCCAGACTTTATATTCTTATATTGTTGTAATATTAACACCAAAACAACGACTCCTCCTCCTCCTCCTCCTTCATGGGGTACATCGACTGTGAGAGTGTGTTAATAATGTCCCACTCTAAGGTACATGTGTGAACAGAAAAGTCCTGGAAACAGCAGAGCTCGGATGTTGTTTGGAAAGAGTCGGGACGGTTCGGGTTTTCTGAGGCAGAGGTAGCGGGGTGGGAGCAGGGGGTGGGGTCTGTGTCGGCCTCCATAACGGTCTGAAGTGGTTCTGCAGGAGAGAAAGAGAGAGAAAGAGCTTTCAGATGAACCTCCCCCCGTGTGTTTACCTGATATCTGAGTTATTCTGACGGATGACTGAAGAAACTGTCTGTGCGTGTCGATTCTTGTTACATTGAGTCAAACGGACAGAAAACTGGAACAGGTGACGGCGATAAAAGTCCCTCCTTCCTCGCCAGATTTCCCACATAACCTTGCTTGTATATCTGTCGTCGCCCACTTAAGCGTGAACCATCTCTCCCCCCTCTTCGTTGGATCTCCTGCAGGATATCGCTCTTTGTTCTGAGTCCGGCCTGAACCAGGAATGTTTTTGGAAACGTTTCTATTGTGTGTTGGAGTCGGCACCACGCCTGTGAATACCTCACCTCATTAATATCTGTCCGCTGTTAAAAAAGACTAATAATCATGTTTCTCTTCACATAATTCATGATAATAAAGACTCTATTGAAAGTTTATTTCCCTACTGAGCCGTCAAACCCTTTCTTTTTGTAATCCTCTAAATCATCTTTTAATTATGCGGATCAGAAGTTAAATCCTAACTCTAAAACTGAAACTTTGAACAAATGAGAACAAGTCCAGATCTGCCGGGTGAAACATTCACCTGTAGTTTATTTGTTTCAGCTGGTTACTTCATCGCTGTGTCTTTGACTTTTTTGACTTTACTTCTGATTTACATTCATCTTAAATTTAACACCCTCATGTTTCCCGGCCGTGTGATCCGGGCTTCCTTTGTGTCGCCTAAACAGCGTCCTGTTGTTGAGGTCCTTTGTTAACTCGTGTTTTTAAACTCATAGACACAGACGACTGTTGAACAGAGTCTGAGTCCAGAATATAAACTATAAAACCAGAACGCAGCGTCTGTCTGGAGGGATTTTAACCTCCTGTTATTCAATGTTATTTAAAAAATAATAATTGACTTTTGGTTTTTTTGCTTCATGTTTCTTGACTTTTCCTCATCTGATTTAGTGTAAAATGATCATAATCTTTTTTCAATGTGTTGTTCACATATCGCACACCTTGGTGTTGTCTGTCTGTGTGTGACCCAACATCCCCAAACCTACAGGTGCAGAGTTGATCTGAGTTGATTATTTTGAGTCGATAATAACAGGGAGGAGGAGAAAACGACGACTGTGGACATGTGGGAAACATCCTGAGCTCCAGATAAATGAGAAAACCACTGTAGGTTTGAAACTGATCACACCAAGTCTGTCCAACTACAAACACCTCTGAATGATCATCTCAATACTAGATTTTTAATTGATGGTTATACGAAGAGCTCGAATGATGAACGTCTTCAACATGGCGGACTGTGAGTCTGCTGAGACGTCTGCCTCGGTGTTGAAGTCAGTCGAGGGACCATGATTCTCCATTTTTGGTGCTACTGTGACATGAGAGAGGAGGAAACAATATAAGTGTGTGTGTGTGTGTGTGTGTGTGTGTGTGTGTGTGTGTGTGTGTGTGTGTGTGTGTGTGTGTGTGCTACTGTACTCACACATGTCTAAGTAGGACTGATGCTGTATTTCCTGTGGAGGGGGGGGGGGGGGGCAGAACATGGGGAGTT